GTGAAATATGGAGGTTACAAACAGTATTCCAACTAATAAGTCCATTAAAATAATAAAAACAAGATGTGTTTGTGAACACTGAAGCCCCCGTATGGCAGCCTATGGCAAAGATTGAGGTTTTTATAATGCAAGTGAAAAGTCAAGGTCAAAAGGTCAAATTGTTGGTATCCAGAGAAAGGACATATCACAAGGAATACATGTGTGAAATATGAAAGCCCTAATCTAACTTTCAACAATTATGGCCAAGGTTAAAGTTTTTGAAAAACGGATCAAACTGACTGAGGTCAAGGTCAAAAATATTTAAACCCATTGAAAGATCTTGTCAAAATAACCCATAACAAACTTTTTCCATTCATTCATATATTCTCTCATAAACCATATGTATGGGTAGAGGTACATATATACATATTTACAATAATTATGGACGAGCAGATATTACAGGAGGACAGACGGTGTCAAAAATTTTGGTGATAAATCTAAACAATTTTCTTAAGAATTCTGGAGCAGTACTTGCCATCAAATGACAGAATTTTATAATATTTGGATGGACATAGTATTTTTGCAACAAAAAATCTTCTCGAATACTACATACGGTAATATATACATTAGATTTCCAGTAAGTAATGAAATTCGTCTCCTGTTTGATTACTAAGAAGTGAGGATTATTCAATATAATTCAGGTTTCACTAATTTATCAATAGAGCTCACCCTTACACCAGAACATCTCTCAGGGGCCATGAAACTCAATACTGGAAGAAGCATCCTTGCTTATCATAACTGTTCACTTGCTTTGTTTGCATTATAACCAGAAGCTGAAAAGATGATTTAAAAAGGAATTATACCTTTTCACTACATAATCAATAGAGCCCCCTTTCACCAGAACCCCGACCCTGGGACCATGAATTTCACAATTTTGGAAGAGACATCCTTGCTTATCATAACCATGCACTTAATTTGGTTAAATAATACCAAGAAGCAGAGAAAAGGATTTTTAAAAAAATTATGCATGACATTATATTATCACCGAGCAAAATTAACATTTTTGAATTGAAATAACTTTTTAATGTTTTATACTAAATTTGGACATTTATCTGGGAAATTCTCTATCTGTTTTTAATATGTTCTTATTTGTAGTAAATTGAGTCTTACAGTGACGTAGCAACTGGGGGGCCAGGGGGGGCCTGGCCCCCCCACTTTTTCCCCCAACATTACCTTTACTATAGTAAATGTTCATTAAATAACTTTTTTATATAGTACATCAAGGGTTGTAGGGGAAAAAAATTGGAAGTGATAGGAAGACACACACACACGAAATAGGATTTTCGAGTTTGGGCAAACTTTTAATTTTGGTTTTTTTGTTTTTGTTTTTGTTTCTTTTTTTTTTTTTTTTGCTTGTCAACTTTTTCAGGTAAGTAAAAAAAATTTTTCTCTGGTTGCCCCCCCCCCACTTTCAAAAACGATGCTACGTGCCTGTCTTATTTATCTCATTCCCTTGAAATAGGATTAAGACATTCCAATTGACACTCTGTGACTCTGTCAAAATAACTGTTGCTCGTTAGGTGTTAATGCCTCGGGATTTGTTAATCCTTTACCAAAACTTTATTTGTATAATTACTTTATAACCTCTTTCATGTTCATTCTATAAAAAAAAACACAACTGTCCATCAATTAACTCAACTAGTGTCAAAAGTCAATTATTGTTTACTCTTAATCTTACAAATATCTATGTCCATTATAATCTCTTCAGTTTCTGGCTCTACCGGCCACATCCAACTCGATGAAGTCTCGTAAGATATTGTTAAAATTCATGTTTGTTATTTACCATCATCTTTAATAAATTTGGAAACCTGATTTACCAATTCTTGGACTTTATTTTGGAAGACCATAGGGAATACGGCACCTTTACCATTTCATAGGCACACAACCGGGGGGCTACACTAAGACTTTTTTACAAATATATACTTATTAGACATTGAACATGTGATTTAGCCCCCACTTTCCACAGATACGTCTTAGTATGTGTTAGTATAGGTTAAAATTGGGAGAAGTGTTGGTGTTTGGAAGAAAAATACTTTCACCTAAACCCCCCCCCCCCCCCCCCCCCACGAAATAGGATTTTCTGATTTGGGAAATATATTTCCATTTCTATTTTTTTTTTTGCTTGTCAGGTTTTTTTGAAAGTTACAAAAAAAGTTGATTTCTTGATAATTCTACCCCACTTTCAATTTGCTTCCGACGCCAATGCATTTACGTTTCATTACGGCACCACAGCACCACTACTTAGTTTTACCCGCCAACATTCCTTCTTCCCCGTTTACCCTCTAAAACGGATATAGTCCAGGAATCAATATTCATAACTTATAACCAAAATCTAGCTGGTTATAATATAATCAATGTATAGAAAGATGACCTAAAGAGTCGAATATTTCCAGGCATTTTTCGGTTTCAATAAAACAGTCCGACAAAATGCATGTTTACTAGAATCCTGTCAATAAATAAATTATATACAAGTTGTTTACTACAACCGACATCAATGGATCGTACAACTGGACTCAGCATGAACTCATTGATGTAAAAATAACAAGATCACATGTTGGACAAAATGCGTTTTACTATATGTATACACGAATATAGGTAAGTTGTGGTTAAGTTTGCAATGGAGTTTAAGTTTGCCAAAGGAAAATTGTAATTCTTCTTCATTTTTAGCTCTTTACGGGTCAGAGCTAGACCAGAAGAGCTTAAATGCGATAGTAAGGAGTCCGTCCGTCTACAGCTCTCATGTCTGTCCGTCTGTAAACCTTTTTTTCTTTTCAAAAATGCTACGCCTCCTACAGTTTTGGTCTGATTTCAATACAACAACATGGCACACAAATATAGTCGTATGAATGGGGTATAAGATACACAAAGTTGTTATTCCAGCATATATTTTACATTCTCTCTTTCTTTCTCTTCTAAAGTGAAATATAAAATATATACACTGACTTTCCCTACATTTCGAAATGATTATATAACGTACCAGTAGTTTCCTCTATATTAATTTCCTCTATACTTAATATGCATTCCAGGCTATCTGCTTTGAACAGAAAACTTGTCTTTTGATGAACAATTTACCAGTTTACTTATAATGCATTAAGCAATATACTAGCAAAATGTAAAACCTATAAATTATCAAGATATTATAAATAGCCTAGCCGCTACAATTTCATTAGTGTATTTTTTTTCACTCGGGTAAATAAATACATATAGGTGCTCACGCAGATAGGAGCAGCAGTTGTAATTGCTCACTGTTATCCACATGTATCATATATTGACGAATGATGCTAAAATTTGCATGCGCACATACTGTTGACCATTGTATATCCCATTGTATAGGCACCGTTATAATTACCTGATCTTGATCATGACAAACGGCAATATTTACATCGAAGTCAAAGTGTATTTCAAAAGCATTTGTTTATGTAAAATGTAAAGATTCTGGTGCAGGTTTGAAAATTGTGCAATCTGATTAAAATTATTTTAATCTTCCTAAATTATTTTTAAAGCTAGTAAAGTGTTTAGTTAAAACGTGATATTTAGATAACTTGATACATGTATATGATTGTTAACCCCTTCCCCAACCATTTGAAATGAATCAAATTTATCATATATAAAATTGAATTGCAGCTAACATAACTTTCGTTTCTTTTTTGAAAACAAGTCAGTCGAATATAATTATAGTATTTCTCAATTGTTGTCCACGCAGTTTTTTAACATGGACAATCTTTTTAACCTCAGATCGAGCTACCTTCGTAGTTTTTTTCGCATATTCATATAAATAGTAAACAATTTTATGAAGGTGAAGAATTTAACCGTCCAAGTACAGACTTTACGACCGTTTTGACCTACTTTCCAGTGACCAAAACAAGTCTGACCTGGCTTAAAAGACCCCACATATGTGTTGTGGTCGAATTATTTTTAAAAAAATCAAAATTTCAGTCACGTGTGGTATATACGTTGGATTTCCAGATTTTGGAACCTAAATATACATACATATAGGAAAATCATCAAATAATGTTGATGATTCCATGTGTGTTTTCTTTTTTAGTCAGTTAGTCCTCTGAACAGTTAAAAAATGCATTTATCATTATGGAAATAACCTTTCCTGTAAAAATATTGGGTTAATTTTTTTTTCTACATGCAAGAAATTGCAAAATTTGAATTAAACATCCTCTCATGCACTAACCTTGAATATATTTTTTTTGCTTTCTTTTTTTTCTTTTGTTGCCCAAAAAATTTGCTTTTTTATTAGATATATTCCAAGTATATACTTTGTTCCCTGTAATTACGAAGTTACAGTCGTTTTCCTCAACGATTTTGCCAATTCATATACCCCCCAAGAATTTTTGTTCCAAGGGCTGATGGGGCTCTTGAAAAAATGCTTCATTCATTCAGACCATTAAACTCCGTCTTGAATTCATAATAATACATTATCCTTATTTACGTCCTTAATTAATTAGAGATTCCAGCCATGGCATGTCCATAAAATCCTTATCACCTCTGGATACACATGAACAGTGTTCACATCTTTTTAACACCTGACTGAACTAACCACTGTCCAGATCCGGGGACCTAAATATGAACTATCCCTGCAATATATATTTATTCTTCACAAGAAAATATACATGTACCTCTGGTACAAAGTTACGTTACGTAATTAATTAACCACTCATGCTGCACATGAGCGCAATAGACACGTGCAGGTATGGTCAACCTGTCATAGGCATAGACTATAGTCAGGAAAATCGGTGTTTATGCACATCTTGTAGACCTATTTATTTTATTCAATTTCTTTTTTATGGGGAGAAGGTTCCTTGCAGTTATTCTATTACAATCTAATAAATAAAATGCTTCTTGAACGCAATTTATTGATTTGGAAAAAACAAAACAAAAATCCAGCCACAGCACGCGTGACACTAATATTTATTCATTGGCTCAGAATGGGCATTAGCCAATTGAAATCGAGAATTTGACTTCGACCAATCAGCGACTAGCGTGTACAGATAATGAAGTTTTGCTCTAAACTCTCGGAAATTTACTCAAATAGTAAAAGAAACAGATCGTGTCAACACGGAATTCATATTCTAAGGTAAGAAAATGCATTTTTCAAACTTAAGTGTAATTCTTTCTTATTATGGCTCTTTAATGCAAATGATATAATGTTACCATAATTTAATAATTCATGACGGGAAATCGTGCAAAATGAGTAATCAGTTTTCCCACGAAAAATAATTTTACCGAGGTTTTCAAAAACAGTATTCTTCAAGTGGATATTGCATTTTTGCTTTTTAAAGATTTTAACACACGTTTAAGATGCATAATTAGAACTGTAAGACGAGTTAATGATAAGCAGTTCACTATATATTTCACGTCAACAGCTGCACATAACAGAAACAGCTGATTTCTTAAGGTCAAGGACGTGAGATAGATGGTTACACTGACACAAAGCGCTAAATTATATAAAACGGACGCCGTACAGGGGTTGTGTAATTTATGGGGTGGGGCATTAACACTCGATTGTAGAACATCTAGCAAGTTCTTTTTTTTTTTAAAGAAAAGTAATATTAATGTCTTTGATCAGTAAAATAATTTATTTTACTAGGGGTCCCTGATTTTACAATGGAAACATGCCTAAATTTTTTACAATTAAAAGAATTTTAAATAAAGTCAACTTATGAAAATAGTTTAGATATTCAAAAATGATAAACTTGTGAACATTATAATAGTAAAAAAGAATTCACTGAGGCTGTTCAACATAGCTAAAATAATCAAGGAAAGAGTTTGACTTAGGCCTAGTTCTGCACGAGAGAGCAGCATGATCAGGCAATGGAATCACTTTGTGCAATGGCAAAATATAGGTTATTACGTCAGGTTACTGAGGGAGAGTTCATTATCCGAAAAAGAAAGATGTGACAACACTTTTCTTAGTTTAAAAACAAATTAAAAATAAAATGCTTCTTCTATTAAACCATGAATTGGTAAGCATCATTGTTCTTTTTGAAATATAAAGAAATTCTGAGTTTAGCCTCATTCTGTTGATGGCAGAAAGAAGAAAATTGAACATCAAAGAAAGTCTACTAGCTGTCTTTTGATATTTGAGAGAATTGATAGATATATCGATGAATCATTTTTTAAGCAGAGTAAACATAAAAACTTTGAATAGGACTCGCCATTCTTGCCAACCCGACCCCCAACGTTAAAATCTGGTCATGATCAGATTTGGATAGTAAAATTAGAACACTGCAAAAAATGAAGATTTTTTTATTCTGACTGTCAACATCCTAGATCTGCATCAAGATAATTGTCATGCTTATAAAGGAATAACCTGGTTAACAATTTTTTTCTGTATGCCCTTTGTTTAGGAGACTGATCCTTAATTAACTTCTGGGAAATCAATTTAACAAAGCATAGGATTGCAGCAAAACTTGCATGCGAAAAGTTATTCCTTTTAAAGTATTTGGATGTGTATTTATGATATTTATTGCCAAAATAAAACTTTTTAATTTATATTAGAATTTAAATTGTTTTCCCAGATAAAACCCATTGCTTATAATTGAAATAAAAACATTAAAAAGTAATATTTCTATTTATAGATAATTGGTTATTTTTCTTCAGAAACTGACAAAATGTCGTACACAGCTCAGACCAATAAGACGGTCTTTGACCGCTACATGGACCTGCCCCTGGACAATAAGGTCATGTGTGAGTACATCTGGATAGACGGCACGGGGGAGGGGGTCCGCTCCAAATGCAAGACCCTGGACTTTGAACCCAAGGATCCCAAAGGTATGATATGAAGTATTGATTTTTCTTATCAGTTTAAAAAAAGTAATATTTATTATCTATCAGTTTCAATACAGATATTGTTCCACAGGCTTCAATCATAAGCTAATTTTAGTGGCTTATTGAAAACATCTAAGAGGCTATTTATCATAATTAAATCTTGCCCACACACATAGACTTTGATACCCATTAAAAGATGTGGTTCACTGACAAGACACACATGGTACCATTGAACTGCATGTTAGCTTTTCCCATGAATCATTATAATTGTTTTTCCGAGAGGATATATTTTGTGTCAACATTTTATGAGCTTTTACATGTGACCTATATGCACTTACTATGACTAACAAGAAAATTTAAGTGGAATAAAATTATAATACAATTTGCATAGTATGTTTCTAAACTTATTATTGCTTGATTGTTGACCATTTCAGCATGACTAATTTTCTCATGGTAGTTTTATGCCTTCGTGTTTGATGTTTAAATATGTCCTTGACCTTATAATAGAAGAACTCTGGCACACATGAGAGTCGTGTAAGAGTCAACCAGGTCGATAGAGGAAGAAGCATATGTTACGCAAATGAAACATATTTTGAACAATACTGAAAATAAAGAAACTTTTTAATTTGCTTATAAACTATTGTTCTAAAAAGCACTTTAGACTAGTGGAAGGGAGGTCTGAAAAATGAACACATATGCATATTTCTAAAATTAATTAAAAATCTGATAGAATTTATTCAGTGGTAAATATTGGTAGTAAATAATTCACATTTATCTTGGATTCAGAGTGCCCCATTTGGAACTACGATGGCTCCAGTACATACCAAGCTGAGGGATCAAATTCGGACATGTACCTCTACCCCGTGGCCATCTTCAGAGACCCATTCAGGAGGGACCCAAATAAACTGGTGCTGTGTGAAGTCTACAAATACAACAAAAAACCAGCAGGTAATTATGTACCGGTAAAAAATTAACAGTTAATAAAAATTAATTTATGAACTTTTTCAGTTTTTGAAAATACTTAAAGTAAGAATATGGAGAAATAAATAAAATGTATTTCATTGTTTATTTTTTTTATTTTAGAAACAAATCGTAGAAAGACGTGTAATGAAGTAATGGAACAGGCCAAAGATAAGAAGCCATGGTTCGGAATTGAACAGGAATACACACTGTTAGATACAGATGGTCATCCGTTCGGCTGGCCCAAAAATGGTTTCCCAGGACCTCAAGGTATGTTCTATTTACAGCATTTGATAGTAAATTGATTATATGTACTAATTATTGAACCAGAAGTAAGTGGATTGTTTAATTGTCATGGATGAGCTACCGGTACTTTTCTCATCTCTCCTAATGGAAATTTTATGAAGCCACCATTGTAAAAATCTGAATTCATATCAGATATCTAAACATTTGACCTGAGGGTTTTTTTCCCTAGTAAGTTTGTTCCAATTCTTATCACTGATATTATATTCAGGTTTTGGGGTTAAGTTTGCATGTCAAATGTACTAGGAATATATAAGCTCTGTGTGACACAGTTTTTTTTTATCTAAGTCAGAAGGAAACTTGTCCCTATTCATCAAAAATTAAACATCCTTAATAGTTGCTCTCTTGTAGATACTATCTGTAACTGTACTGACCTTGAACCCTTTGATTTTTCAGGTCCATACTACTGTGGAGTGGGAGCTAACAAGGTGTATGGACGTGACATCATCGAGGCTCACTACAGGGCTTGTCTGTACGCTGGGGTCAAAATTGCTGGTTGTAACGCAGAGGTCATGCCCGCCCAGGTACGGCAGAATAGTTTTTATTACAGTATTATTGTCAGAAACTGGAGTTCATCTCTCGGTTTTGAAATAAAAAAGAAGGGTGAATCACCAGTTAAGCAGTTAAAAAAATAATTACAATATAACTCCCCCTTTTAGAAAATTTTATACAAATGCCCAAAGGACTATGATCTTGTGATTAAAGACATTTGTGTATCATGTACTATAGTTGGTAATGCTATGTTAAACACATTTTAATTTCATTGTTTGTTATGTTAATATAATGTTTATTTGGTTCACAGTGGGAGTTCCAAGTGGGTCCCTGTGAGGGAATTGCTATGGGTGACCACCTCTGGGTGGGACGCTATTTATTACACAGGGTAGCTGAAGACTTCGGAGTGGTGGTGACCCTTGACCCCAAGCCTATTGAGGGAGATTGGAATGGTGCTGGGGCTCATTGTAATTACAGTACCCTCCCCATGAGAGAGGATGGGGGAATCAAGTAAGTGCAATAAGTTCACCCAGTAAAGTAAGCAGAGATGTCTAGATTCTTGCAAGTAGATCAAAATAGTCATACATTGACAACTAAAGAAGTCTTCATCATGGAATAAAGCAAAGTAATTTGAAAATCTCTAAATAGACTCAGCTACAGCTAATTATCTATGAGTATTGACTAGATAAACTAAATTATTTAATGTTTATGACAAGCATTTTTAATATCATGGAAAATAATGATGTTTTATCTTTGTCTTCAGACACATTGAGGATGCCATAGAAAAACTATCCAAACACCACGTCAGACATATAAAAGCTTACGACCCGAAAGAAGGAAAAGACAACGAGAGGCGTCTGACAGGATTTCACGAGACCTCCAGTATCCACGACTTCTCCGCGGGCGTGGCTAATCGCGGTGCCAGTATCCGAATCCCCCGTAATGTAGCTGAGGATAAGAAAGGCTACCTTGAAGACAGACGACCTTCATCTAACTGTGACCCTTACTCCGTAACAGAGGTCATAGTCAGAACCACGTGCATAGACTAAGAGACCAATCAGCTGACTTGTTTGTTTCTGTGTATTGTCCGGTATGTTTTATTTTTGTGTAATGTGGAAAAAAAAACTTGGAAGAGATCATTATATATTTCCTACATGTATGTTGAAAACCAGGCTTCTATTTTTTTTTTTTTTGTACAGTGTTCATATTTTTTGTTTTTAAAATTAGATTTTTGTATATATCTATGCATTATGTTTTTTCATATAAGATCTGCTCTTCATACCATTGATTCATAAATCATATTGCATAAGTTATGTATGTATATTTTTATCTTCATGTATATAGTTTTAGCAAATCTCATTTTACACAACTGTATCTGACGAATCCAATGGAATCTCCAAGGTGGGCTTCTGTGTTATTATGAAAGGTGACTATATGTATGTAAATGATTATAAATTGTTACTTAAAATTTTAAAAAGTTGTTTTTTATACATGATAATTTCATAAATTACAATAAAAATGAAAAACAGTCGTGGAAATGGGAAACTCCATTATATAAATTTGTAGTTATTTGTGCAATGTTGCACAAAGGTCCAGGCATATATTGTTGTCATTAAATTGGAGGAAAGTAATGTTGGGAAACGAGGATTAATGGGTTCACTTACCTTCTGATAAGAGAGATAACTCTTCCTGGGATTAATGGGCATGTCTCCTCTCTTGCATAGTATGCTGAAATTGTGTAATTTCAATCAGTAAATGTGATTTCAATCAGTTGGAATGGTAATAAAAATTAATATTTGATAAAGTCATAAAACTTGGTCGTTTAAAAACCTAATGGACTTGAGGAGACAATGAGTAATATTCTGAAAACAAGATGTGTTTGTGAAACGCTGATGCCTCAGTATGGCAGCTGACGGTGAGGGGTTGACGTTTCTCAATTTCAAGTCAAAGTTCAAGGTCAAATTTGTTGGTATCGAAGGTCTTGTCACAAGGAACACACCTTTAAGGTGGCTCATTACATCCACAGTTTATTTTAGATTTCATGACAGCACCACTTATCATGTAGATGCCAAATATCCAAATGGAGATATTGATATCGTAAATATTTTTTAGAGAATTTTTTAACTTTCTTTTTATTTTGGTGAAATGTTTTATTTCAAGTTTATTATTTCCAGAATTTCAAAACTTTCAGTGTCAAACGATGGACATCTTCCTTAGACAAGTACACACAATGAAAATACCTCATAATATATAATATTAATTTTATTAGAAAAAATAGTTTTCTTCTAAAAAACAATAATTGTCATTATCTTTTTAATCTGCGCATAAAATATTTTTAAAATGAGTTCTGAAGAGACAAGGAATGTATTTCAATGAATTGCTTGTGACAAATTGAATGAAGAATGTTTTAAAGAAATGAAAATTCCAATTTAGAAAATATTTGGTATAAAAAGTCCTTTTTCAAGAGTTATCTTTCCTAATTACCCGAGACTCAAAACACAAAGGAACGTTTGAACATTACATCTAAATTTCAGAATAAAGCTTTAAACTTCCATAATATATATTTAAATCAATAAAGCAAATGTATAAATTAACACCAACACAGTAAATTGTGCAAGTAAATAACATTTTTAATTTCAACAAGGTTGTCGATTTAAACTCGAATTTCCTCCATACAAACACGTTGACTGATAGAGCTCACTGCTTCGACATGTCAGAAATGGCACATTACTTGTTTGGCGAAGATTTTGCTGTTGTTTTCTTTTGTTTCTGCTAAAAAGTAATCCTTCTTGGTGTATGTAAAATGAATCCGTTACTACTGTTTATAACACCGCATGGCTCATCTATTTTTAAAGCGTTTTAAAGGTCATGGTCATATTATTGAGGTACCCATACGATTCGACCCCAAAGCAAATCGGTCGAAACAATGGAGGTTTATTTTTCTGTGTAGTACGTCATCAAAAAGTGGTGTAATGAGCCTCCTCAAAATATAAAAACCCTAGTACTAATGGTTCAAAAGTTATGGTCAAGGTTCAAGTTTTTTTTTTTAGAAATGGATCAAACTCTCAGGTCAAGGTTAAATATTTTCATACCCATTGAAAGGTCTTGTCACAGTGCCTAGCATGAGCTATTCAAAAGTAATGGCTAAGCTAAAAGCTCGGAAATTTTTGTAAAGGTGGGTTAAACTCCAAGGTCACAAAGTTAAATTTAGTGATACCCGAGGAAATGTCTTGTCACATGGAATAAATTTGTGAAATATGAGAGCAATAGCACCACCCCACTCAAAAGTTATGTTCAAGGTTAAAGGTTTTGCGGACAAACAGACAGACAGAGCAAAAACTATATAAATGTACCCCCCCCCTTTAATCTTTGATTACGGGACCATATAAAAAGGCTTAAGGTTGCATGTGCTTTAAAAGTTTGGAGTCAAGTGTACATTACTGTTACACAGAAGAGTAGCTGCAGATCTTTAGCTTATTGGGTTGAATGACCGGTCGTCCATCCCCATTTTTCTCAGACCAGCTACATACAGATCTGCATCACATGCACGTGACGAATGGATGGTGTACACCCCCCCCCCCTCAGCCTCAGACACAAAAACTACTCAAAAAAATACATAATTTCCTATTCTATCATTCTTCTATTTCGATATCTGATATCATTTTTCGCTTTTGTAAAGATTTAGAGATAGGCCCTATGTACGGTATATAAAAAGTAGTATTTTTATATACCGTATAGGGCCAATCTCTAAATCTTAACAAAAGCGGAAATTGATATCAGATATCGAAATAGAAGAATGATAGACTAGGACGTCGTGTATTTCTGAGTAGTTTTTTTGTGTCTAATAAAAATTTTCAGAAGCTGGGGGGGGGGGGGGGGTAATTACATAATCCATTCGTCGGGTGCCTGTGATCTGCATTTTAATGAAAGAAGCACATTTTTTTTTTTTTTTAGAGGTGAAATTTTTAAATGCTACTACTTTTGGAGTCAGTATAAAATTTTCCATTCATAAACAATAAAGTAATTTATTATGCAAATGAAATGTGAACAAGGCAAAGACTTGACTTGACATGTTAAAATTAGGCCTACATAAATTTTCCATTTAGATAATAAACCCTGAAGACATAATTACGTAAATAAATAACATTGCGTCAAATTAAATGTACCCCAGGTCACGACTGGAAAAAAATAATAATAAACACAGACATTTAGACCATTAATTTTTTTTTTATTGGAAAACATACTAATGCCAAGTAGGGGGGGGGGCTCTAATTTTATTTAGTCATAGATTGTTTTGTGTTCATTTGGTATTTTTTACATTGTGTGTAGTATATATCTTAAACGGATATGCCGTGTGTCCAGGAATCATCGGCATCATGCTAAAATTCATTCTAAGAGAGATAAGCCGTGTTGGAAACATTTTTCTCTTAATTTATTTAGAGTTAACTTGTGATCCTTTACATTTCTACGAAGCAGATATTTTTTAAAAAAAATTACATAAGAAGAAAACATTTGCCGTTGCCTTCAGCCGGCTCGACTTTGTTTTCGGCAGAATTGTTTCATACGTATTGTTAGATCTTATTTTAATAATAAAATTGAGTATGAATTATCTGGTGTACAATGTATACCTGGGGCCCGTTTCACAAAGCTTACTTAGGACTAAGTTATATCTTAGGAAAGGACTTTTTCCTAAGTTCATTACTTATCCGTTTCACCAACCTCGTCTTATCTTAGGATATTCCTAAGTTATGTCATAACTTTAGGACAGGTAAATCGATGACTTAGGAAGAAACTAAATATTGTGGCTGCATATCCAAGATTTCTTATGAAGAGATTGGGGAGTGAAAATCCAATGGACTACTAGTATATGGATGATTGTTTTATCTCAAGGTTAAAACTGTTTTACTTTGCATGGAATTACTAGGATTTCAATAATAATTTTTAATGGCAAACATATGTCAAAATTTGTCCAAGGTATTTAAAAATGTCCGTTCATTTGGTCCACTGGAGCTGGCGAATTAGATGGTTCACATGCTGGAATAATCCCCCATCATTTGAAGAGCACGCCTTTGTAAACAAAATATCCATTATTATACATACATACATTATGTTTTTATCTACATGTAAATGTATATTTATTATACTCCCGCTTGAAAAGCGGGAGGGTATATAGTAATCGGTACGTCCGTCCGTCTGCCTGTTACGCTTTGGAGTACCCATCTCTTATCCGCAACTCCTCTCATACAACTGAATGAAATTTTTTATATATCTTTTACTATTATTTTAATTGATATAAATTCGAATTTGAAAAATGATATTTTAGATATATGGAAACACTTGTTCACTTTCGAAAAGTACGTGATTCTTGATGAATCCCCAACCAAGCTCCGGATATCAGTAGATGTTTCTCCAAAGAATGGTTGCATCTAATCTCCTTTAGAACGTTATTATTGAGGGGACATGCGCATACCGCAGTTTTGTTTTCTATAGTATTCAATACATCGGTAAAATTATTTTTATCCCCCTCCCGTGCTCCTCCAATTCCTACGGCCATAAGATTACAACCAGTTTTCCTCTTCGCTTAATACAATTTATAGCTATGGATGAGATTTCAATAAATTTCCTTTTTTTAACTTCCTCTTTTAGTATTTTCATACCTGTAGTCGCGAATTTTGTGATTTTTTCTGGCATGGCATCCTAATTGCAGCGCGGAGGACCGGACTGCTCTATTCACTAGAAGTTTAAGTGTTGGTGTATGGGGATCGAGGTGGGCGAAGTTATTCATAATTAAAGGTTTTCTAAATATTGGAAAGATTGTTAATCAGATTGTTCTTTCCTTTATAAATTAGGAGATACATAATATATTTACTTCCATAAAGTGAATCTGTAAAAAATATATGTTTTTTTCATATTTAATATATAAATTTGCTTATCATTTACTGTGGGAAAAATGACAGGTCCCTTTTTTTAGAACATCGAATTTTACTTCTCGCATAAAAACGTACTCTGCACAGTTCGTGTTTTATATTCGAAAATTGAAAATTAAAATACATTTTTGAATATAGTTGATGCATGTGTCTAACTTCAATTTATATTTTATGCAGCCAACATTTACTTGAGGAATTGATCAAGTTTAAAATGGTACCGTTTTTGTTAGATTTTTTATCCGACTGTGAGTTTTCAAAATATTCGCCACTATCGTCTCCATCAATTAGACGGATGACTTTTCACACATATTAAGCGATTTGATGATCAAAATTTCCATTGTTTACTTTATATATTTCCCGGGCGACAATTGATGGTTACATCAATGTTTTCTTGTTATATAATATTTTGATGTATAATACATTTTGTGTATTATGTGTGAGAAAGTTTTACCCAGTACAGACAGCTAACGTGGAGTAGTCATTGGCAAAGATTTTTTCTTTAATTTTTAAAATTGCGAAGCAATCATTTTTGAATTGCATTAAATTACAAGTAGAAATATGTGCCCGGAAGGGAAGAGGGCTTGAAAGGGTTTGTATGTGAATGCTTAGTTCTAGTATCAAACTTCATTAAGTTAAAACTTCTGTCCAAGCCCTTTGAAAGTACGCGCAATTCCCAATCCTCCCGCCCCTCCTTTTTTGAAGCTTAAAATATAAACCATACTGACATACTGAGAGTTGTAGATGGAGCGGTGAAATTATTTCATAAGTCAATATAGAGGCACAACTTAAGAAATTACTTAGGAAAAATTTAAGATAAGATTGTTTCGTGAAACAGCTGTGACAAATCTTAGGAACTTCCTAAGTTATAACTTAGGCATATCTTAAGTTGTGTCTTACGATATATCTTAGGAAACGTTTGTGAAACAGGCCCCTGATCAATATATGTAGGACTCACGGCCGCGTGTGACTGGTCTAAGGGGGGTGTCTACTTCTTCTTGCCACTTATCCCATCTTTGGAACCGTGTTTTATACACTATTCACATATTGGTACCGTTTGTAGTTTTTTAACTGTTCAGTATCTTAATTCACCCTTTTTTGATTTTATAACCCCGATAATTAAATCCCTATGAAAAATGGTGTAGGGCGTTTAAGCCAATATCAAAACATTAAAGTATGAACCATTACCACTGCTAACATTACAGGCTAAATTAATTTTTAACCATTTGAGAGTGCTACCGTACTAAATAAATATTCTTCTATAAAGTTTCATTTATTATTCATAAACCAGACATTCAAGTTGCCCTGGGCCACCCAGGGAATAATGACATTTTATCTGAAATACTTATCACCGAAAATGAAATTTATGAGAAATTAAGTATTATTGATAATAGTAAACAACCTTGTCCTGATTTTATTTCCCCAAAATTGTTGAAATACTGTACAAAATGATTTTTAAAAAAGACTGAAGCTAATACTAAAGTATGTAAATATAAAATTTGAAGAAAAAAAATAAACCCACTTAGCATTTTCTCAGACCATGTCAATGAATTTTTTGGCCAATGATAATACCTGTATTTACATATTACTTTATATTTCATTTTACACCCAAAATATTGCTTTTTTACCGATTATTTATTTAAATAATCCATAATTAAAACAAATGTAATTAATGAACACATATTCTTTTTACATAGAAATCTGCCAGATCTTACGATTACAAAACATAGATAATTATGTTAATTAGCCATGCGTGACTTAATTATTGTTCATTTCAAAATATAATCATTAGCTCTGCAGGTGAAACGAATTACTCGTGACATCTGTTGCTTACGGTTGTCAAATATCAATAGCTCAAAGATATAATTATTTCTTAACATTTGGAGAGTTGATTATGTCTGATCTATTGAAAAAATAAATCTCATCCAATCTGTAAGGCAATGCGGTCTTATGTCTTATTGTCAACTTGTCAATCCAAACTTGTATACTTCTCTGTAATCTTCATTATTTCTCTTATACTTTAAATGTATATTCAAGTTGATCATGTTGTAAGTAGATGACTAAAATTATTTACTCTCTGTCAATAAAATTATGTATAAATAAAAAATGTAAAAGTTTTTTATTGCCTAACTTTTCGAAGAAATAACAAAAGTCAATTTTTTCAACAACTCATTTGACGCTCTTGGGGGACTATTTGCAGTTTCTGCAAGAAATTACATATCATCGGCGTAAGTGAAGATAAACAACTTCATGTATGACAAGATGTGTTTGTGAAACACTATGCACCCGACGGCAACAAAGTTCGAAAAACTATTTTTAGCATATAGGTCAAGGTCACAAGGTCATTGACCTTGGTGTCATTTGAAACAGCTTAATTATTGAAGTAGGCATACCAAATATGAAGTCTCTATTATCTCTTTAAGTTATGGCGAAGGTTTAAAAGGATATTTTTAGCATATAGGTCACAGTCAAGATCACAAGGTCATTGACCTTGGTGTCATTTGAAAGAGCTTAATTAGTGGAGTAAGCGTACCAAATATGAAGTCTCTGTCTATCATGATTCAAAAGTTATGGCGAAGGTTAAAGTTGACAACAGAAAGACATACAAACAGACAGGACAAAAACAATATGCACCCCCGATCTATCGATCCAGGCGCATAAAAACAGATACATGTGTATTTCTACAACTGTAGTAATACTAATCAGTCCTTCGATATTCTTTACGAGAGATACAAGGAAGGTGATAATGGTTCTCCTTGTCGAACCCCAACATTGCAATTTTAAAAGAGAGATTGTTTACCGCTCATCTGTATTTTGCATGTACATGTACATATTTTACTCGAAATCCAGACATCAACATCGTTCCAAAATCTGGCTTAAAATACATAAATGGAAACAACAATACTGTTCTGCTGTTGAAATTGTAGAAATAACATTTAGAATGGAGTTATCTTTTCTGAATAAGTTTTTGACTGTGAAATATACATGTCATGGCCCCATCCATTCAAAAGTTATAAATTTGTAAAAGGTTAAAGTATTTGCGGACATCAGGCAGACGCACGGACAGGGAAAAAACTGTAAAAAAGGAGCGTCTATATTATGCAGATTCAAGACTGATAAAACTGTAGTTCCCCATCATCTATATTAAATTCAGGGTTGTGGTAAATGTCTTACCAAGAAATTATGTACATGTATATTTCGATTGAGCAGGTATTTAGTGTTTGCAAAACATGGATACTGTTATTTTACTAAACAGTTATTGCAGTAAAAGGGTGGGTCGGTTAATTTATTGTTCACAGTACCTCCAGATTTTAAAATGATAGGATAAAATATTTAAGTACAATTCGGTTAATCCCAGTTCGTTAGAGTTGCAGTCAAACTGTAACTTGAACTCCATGTTGGCGGGAAAATAGTCTGAAATATCAGACTTATCAACGTTAAGTAGGGATTCTTCTCAGTTTATTGTATTTAAAAATAATCAAGCTAACTCAAAGAATCTGTGTCTCCAGCTCAAGGAAAGAGGGCGAGAGGGACACTTTAAGGGTGGACGTGACCATAGGAAGTTATGGTTTACAATGTAGTTGCAAAAACAACTCAAAAGCTTCTCCAGATATCGCTTGGAGATTCAAGTTTTATGTGAAAGTTGTATGAATTTTTGTCCTTGACCTTTGACCTCAAAATAAAAAGGAATCTTCCTAAGGCCAAAAGGAGTTGTATAAAATGGCATGGCAAAAGCTCAAAGGTTTCTCGAGATATCGCGCGGAAAAAAAGAGTTTAAACACATAGAATTTTTCAATTCATGACCTTGACCTTTGGACCTCAAATTAATAGGGGTCATCCTTTAGGTCAATGGGAGTTGATGTGTAAAATTTCAATGCATAAGCTGAAAGGCCTCTTCAGTTATCGCGTGGAAATGGAAGTATTACAGATAAGCAGAAATACACGTACAGACAGACGGACTGGCTAAAATTAATATCCCCCACTTCCAGCAGGGGACAAAAATAGTGATTGGGACTTCCAACACACTTCAGCATATCTCTGATAGTATGAGATACAGTTCAACTGTAACTATGATGTTAAAACAAGGGCACTGCGAAAAGAGCATATCTATAAATAAAGACAGTATTTGACTGATCCTAATGCAAATTATGTCACTTCTGTTTCGCACAGGGACAAACTAACACACGTACACAAGGGTGTTACTGTATCTTCTCCAACTCCATTGCCAGGGGATATTAACTCCTCCCCATGTGAGATATAAACAGAAATAAAGCCTTTCTTGGTTTATAATTTATTTTCTGCCTCTATCACTGAGAAGCTTGACACAGTGTTTTGCATAGTTTACAAAAGATGTCTCTTAACAATGACTACTCACATGTAAAAATAGTTCAACTATACTTGTTAAATTCCAGCACAAAATAGTATGAAAATCATGTTGTAAAAAATTAGAAAAATAAATATGACAGCTGTATGAAAATTGGAGATTTGTTGAATTTATTAGATTTTATTGCTATCTTTTCTAAAAATTATGGGGGAAGTGTGCATCATATTTTGGTTCTAATTTGGAAGAATTATCTATAGCTATACAAATAAATAAAAAAAAATTACTGAATATAAATAACAAAATAAATAAAGAAGAAAAATATGGTTTAGGTAGCTACTTATGTACAATTAATTCTTGTTCATTTCCCATTTTTTCTTTCTCCAGACAACATAAATTTTAGGATTTTGATAACTGAACAAATTGACACACAAAAACAAAAGATTTTTTCATATAAAAAAACTGAATGCATAAAAAAATAAATAACTGATGACTTGTTTCCCTTTTCAAAAAAAAAAAAGACTTTGGAAATGAACAAGATCTATTTCTACATATGTATACACAGCTACAGTAGATCTAAATGTTATTTATAGAAATGATGAGAATTCTAAAAATATCCAGATCTCTATTCTGAAAACTAGTGTTATGTAGCTTTTAATCTGTAGTATATCACATCCTATGAATCTCTCAGTATTCTTTTTAAACTGGTAAAATTCAACAACTCTGTGTAAAGGTGTGTAATATCACAAAATAGTCTCATTCAAATAAAAAAAAAATTAAAATAAAATACACACAAAACAACTCCAAAAAATTAGCACTTGTTCTCATTCTCGGCTGCTTTCTCATTCAACAGTTTTATGTTTGACAGGTTTCATCAACTATGATTAGTTTTCCCTCAGAATCATGCACTCATAAATGAATATGACACATAAAAACAAAAATTAATTGAAGAACTCTCTACCCAATCTTCAAAATCAAAGTGAACCTGTATCAATTAAGTTTAATGGAAAAGAAGCTAAATTGAACAAGTTCTGAGGGATAATTCTCACTCCGACAAATTAATCGTTCTAGTAATGAGGATGAAAAAAATTCTAACTAGTAAAAAAAATTCCAAAGCACCAATTCCAAGTAAGACACAGATGGTTAAATGAAGAAATGAATTAATTTAAAATCTTGGAAAAATAACCCAATCAAATCCTGACATCAAAAAAAAAAGAACCAATCAAATGTTGATGCCAAAAAATGAACCAATCAGATGAAATATAAAGTACAGCTATCTGACACAGAGAATGAGTGTTTAAGTGAAATAAAAAAAAATATTCACCTACAAATCTCGATAACAAAGTAAATGCAAGGGTTAGTATGATATTAGCATTGAAACAAAATCATTTAATTATTTATCAGAAAATTAATCACTTCAAAGGTCACCCCTACATGTGTATCTACTGTATTTTTTTTTCTCTATGCTTTGATTACCTGGCAGTGTATACAACTGTTCTACAAGGAAATATGGAATTACAATCTATGCCCCTACTTTGTGGATATTTGACATTTGATTGAATTTATATTCAACCAGTTCAACAAAAAACAAATGGACGGATTCAAGATAAATTATCCTGAGTATGTAAATCAATTATCAACTGATAAAACATCAATAAAAATGTACAAAATATGATGAAATATGAGAAAAAAGGTAGATACAGTTATGTATGATTTGGAATTCACAAAGCACATCTGATCTCCATTTCAGAAGAAAGAAGGATGTTTTCACAGAAACTATAGGATTCATTTCTGCGGTAATTTGAAGTATGATGGTTTTGTTGACAGAAGGGTATTATCAACATATGTAATGATTCAATACACTCCATTAGGTTTATAACATGCAAAATGTCCCCTCTCTCAAACACACACATGATTCTCTCAGTCACTAACAAGACATGGCACAACCCATACGGTCATGAAAATAAATAATTATCTACATGTATATATACATTAGATATAAATAACATGGACTTGCATTTCAAACATTCGTCTCCTAAACGGAGGGAAAAAGTTCTGACCAGTAGATATCACTCCATTGAATCCTGCCATTTTATACTTCCGGAATGGTTATATAGATATTCCTAAATGCCTAATAAAATTCTAGACTTAAACACTTTTGGAGCCATATAGTCAGTTATGCACAGTTGCTCGCCTTTTCTGGTAAATCTTGCTCATGACTTGCACTGTGTCTGTTAACAAGGTCTCAAAAATATTATCTGTCAGCTGCATTTTCACTGCCACTTCATCGTCGTCATAATTTACCCACTCTGGTTCCTCCTCTCGTAACTCCTGAACCAGAATATTATCCACGTGGTCCTTTTTCTTGCGGATGTTCCACTTATTCCGATCTAGTTTGCGTGAACCGTTCAAACCTAACATGTCAATAACCGCCTCCTGAACAATAGGCGTTAACGAGTCCACCTCTCGGGGTGGAGAAGCACCACGGAAATATTTCTGTCGTCGCTGTTTGGGCTTCCGCCATGGAGGTGGCTCCTCTTTTTGTTCGTCTTTGTAAATTTCCTTCATTAATTCACCTGTCAGGTCAAACAATAACTTTTTATAAACACGTCGGCTGCTACTTTCTAGTCCCTCATCCTTCAACTCCTCTTCTGTGAAATATGAGTCGGGCGGTTCCTGGCCGTTAATCGACTCCTCGTTCGTAAGATGCTCAAAGTGAATCTCCACAGCACTGGCCACTATCCTCCTGACCTGTTCACTGGTGTGAGGCACTGCTATCTTCACTTCCTCAGCCAACTTCTGCATCTCCAGCTTGGGATCTAAAAAACATACATACATCATCATTAAAGTTCAAGAATGTGGTGAAGATGCAAGACATTAAAATTCTTGAGAAAATCCATACCTGGGGTGCCAGGATAGGGGGGAGGGGCCTTGGCTGGGGTCAGTCCACTAAACATCTCATCATCATCCAGTTCATTACCAAACAAGGCATTGATGTCATTGTCCAGCATCTTACGCTATAAAACAAAAACAAATATGTCCCTTAATCGTTATAAACTTGGTCTTCCTAGCTTTAGCATCAAGATTTTTGTACTGTAATCAAATTTTTTGGCATAAACTTCATTCTAACATAATTATGGGAGATCGTAAACCCCTGCTAATTTCCTTTTCAAATACATTATAAATACCAAAAAATTTTGTCTAGCTCATCAATTCAAAATAATTATTTTACAAAAAATAAGATGTCACTAAAAATTTTATGATCAATAGTAGTCAATATTACACTATCGTAGCAGTAAATAGTACCTGACTATTTTGTGGGGTGCTGCCTGGCATTGGAGAACTTGGCCGGGGAGGGACATTACTGAGGTCCTCCTCTTCATCCTCCTCCTCCTCCCGACTAAGCACCTCCATCAGTTCCTTAGTAGGAGAGATGGGAAGATCCAGTAAGTTCTGAGTCACCTTCAAGTTGTTATTCTCGTTTCTCTTCTTCTTGCTGATCTTCAACATCTTGGTCAGAGCATCATCCAGCAGGCTATCCACCACCTTGTTGGACATTTCTATCTTCTTCTGGAGGGGAGAGTTCTGTCCGCTGTCTGATTCTGGAGGTGACAGGTGCCCGTTCATCAGGGCATGTCCCTGGTCCTCTTTGTTCTCTGGGGCTGGTTCTGGGGTCCTCCTGGGTTTGGGGGCCACAGGAGGTGGGGTCTTTTTGTCTGAGATGTCAGCCATCACATTACACTCATCACTGACTACCTTCTCCAGGATCTGATCAGTGATCAAGTCCGTTAGTTTGTCCTGGTCTTCTTTCTTTTTCTCAAACTCCCTGACATTGAGGTCAGCTTCACTGATCAGCTTGCTCAGGTCTGGTTCTCCCGCAACCTCCGATTCTTCCTCAGATTCGTCGGTTATACTGTTGGCACTGCCCTGACCCATACTCCTGGGGGTGGGAGTTGGAGGAGGCATGAGGTCATTACCGGGCACAAATATACCATGTCCTGGTTTACAACTGAAATACCTCTTCCCATCTTCCATGCCATCAGTTTTTCCATCTGGTTTTTCTAACTCAACCCCAGCCCAAATTCCTGGAGCAAAGTGCACCTTTCCTTTGAACAAAAGTTGTCCTTTCCTGCGATTTCTATCACTAGTTGTAACAGACACATAATCCCCAATATTGAAGTCTGCCATAACATCGTCAATCTGTGAGAAATCAGAACTTTCTCTAGGAGAATTAATGGGTGTTTCATCTTCCTCTTCCTGAGCCTTGGTTGTGGTATTGAATACAGGGTACTGTTCCGATTCATCCTCTGTATTCTGAGCTATATCAATGATACTGTCTATCACACTCTCCTCCTTCATCTGCTGCTCTGGTTGCTCAGAGGGAGCCACGGATGTTGGTTCTGATTCTGACGCTGACTCGAAATCTGTAGATCGACTTCCATAAGATCTCTCACTCTTTCCACTAGAGGGCCTTGAAACAGTCACACTTGATCTGGGAGAATAAGGTTCCTCTTGGTCTTTCTTCAAATCCAGTGGTTTCACAAAACTTTCTGTTCTCACAGAATCATCGATGTGTTCACTACACACTGCTGAGATAGCTTCAGATATCTGCTCATTAAATGCTGGTTTGCTTAAGCTGATCTCGGTGCTCCTTGCACTAACAGGTGGCTTTTCTGAGGGTGGCCCAGCCAGGCTTGCAGTTTTCTCAAAGTCCATGGAGTAGGAGTCATCCTCTTTATACGTAGGCTGCTTCTCACTGACAGGAGATTTGGGGATTTTCACATAGCCCGACACACTGCTGTCGTCTGCTGCCGTCTCTATGTCTTCTGTCACTGAACTGTCTTCTTTGTTCCTGAGCGACCTTGACCTGGAAGATTCACTGCCTTCAGAAATCCTGTCCAGAGAGGCTGGGATGCGACTTGACACAGGTGTTGATTTTGACACAGGAGAGCTTGGTTTGGAATCTACAACAGAAGCAAAGCTTTGATAAATACTTTCTTAGGGTAAAATATTTACATATAATTGGCACATCCAAATAACTCACATTCTGCCTGCTGCATTGACAACATTTTTTAGCATTACCTTTATCCTCTACAACAGAGGGAGAGCTATGTGTAGACTCTGTACTGCTGTCATCAGTATTGACGACCTTTGGTGATGTGACCTCTGGTGACTTTTTGACCGGGCTGACCCTTGGCTTAAGGATCTGAGGTTTGACCTTGGCTGGTTCTCGGTCAGTTGTGTTGTGGATCTCAGACTTCAGTTGATCTATCTGATTATCCAAAGCCTAAAATTTAAACCACACCAAAAATTATATAAAATCCTTTGATTTGAATCAAATATAAAAGAGCAATGTATGAAACCTCAAAATTCAAACCTCACCAATATTTACAGAAAATATATTGATGCAAAAATTAAAGAACAATGTATGTAAAGTTCAAAATTCGAACCACACTTCATGTAATGAAACAAAATAACTATTAATTGTAACATTTCTGGTATTCTTTTGGGGAAATCTATGAATTATTTCTAAATTCAGACATCACAATGCCTGAATTTTTACCTCAATTTGCTTCTTGAGAGCCTCCTCTTTATTTTTCAGGATGTCTTTCCTTCTTTTCTTTCTCTCTTTCTTCAGTTTATCTGCCTGGATCTTCCTTCGTTTCAGATCTTCTGTCAAGGCCCTGACTCGTCCTTCAAAATCACTGAGATCAGACTGGGTCTCTGTGTATGTGGACACATCTGAAAACATTTGAAGCATTTAAATCTCTACATAAGCATCAGTAAATACATGTATATTATAGGTTATATCTGTAATCCGGTATTTTGTATTTTAAATTTCAATATTGAAAAAAAAATGATAAAATATCCTGGACCAATACTTCTTGTTCATGTGAAAAAGATAAAAATAAAGTGCAATGAAACCCAAGAAAGAATTCATAACACTCTTGTAACAAGTTTTAAATCACAGAATATATCCTTGCTGCAGTTTGATATCAAGTTAATTTTCTAAGTAAAATAAATCTCTACCAGTATGAGATATTGATTCCTCTGATTCACTTTCTGAACTTCTGCCCCTGTTGCCATGACGACGAGGTTTGAGGTCCCTTCCAGCGAGGGGGATATTAATTTTCTGTTTACTGAGCTGATCTAAGGGAGACCTAGGGGACTTCCTGCTCAGTTTGTCTCGGCTTGTGGCCATTGTTGACTCATCAACAAATGTGTTGTCACCATAACTGTCATTCAGTGCGGTGGACTCCGCAACTGAGGATTTCACTCTGTAATCCAAAAAATTCCACATTTATAAAAGTGTCAATTGGTTGAAAGTAAAACACCAGTCAAAAGTATTTGGACATTTCCAACCTGAATTCTAATATGATTTCTCAAAAGTTCAAAACACCATAAAACTATCCTCTACCCTACTTTTATTAGTGCCAATCTGTTGAAAGTAAAGTGCCTCAACTAAATTTCAAAATTATTTGGACATTCCAAACTGAATTTTAATAAAATTCCTCAAAAACTCAATACATTAATATATCCTCTTCCCTACCTCCTGGTGGGGGTGACTGGAGTTTCCTCCACACTGGACTGAGATAGGACTTCCTCTGGAATAGAGCTCTCACTCGCACTTCTCCCCAGGCTTGTCTTATACTTAGCCCCCTGTTCTGATGAGACACGCTTGACCTCTGGTGAACTCTCCTCACTGATGACTGTCTCTGTCTTTGGAGTCTCAGTCACAGATTTCTTGATTGAGTCGTCCTTAGCCGTGGTAATGGCTTCTGATACAAAGCTGTCATCTTGTACTGAAGAATAGGTTTGTGACTCTGAAATAGATGTAAAAAAAATTCCTGGTTGCAATTCTTTTGTTCAAAACAAAAACATTAAAATTTTAATAATTTACTATTTTTACTGTTATTTTATGTCTCGCATTTATGTCTACAAATTGCATCAATTTTTTTTCTTGTATAGTCCATGGAAAAAAAGAACAACTTTAAGGACACTAACCCTTTTTGTCCTTCCTGCCTGCCGTCTTGGGTTTCTCTTTCTGTGCCGCCTCTCCTCCTTTGGCCTTGACCTCCTTTTTGTCGCCGTCCCAGATCTTCAGCGCCGTCTGCTCCATCTTATAAATCTTCTCCTCCTCCTCATCCAGCCTCTTCTTCCACTTCAGCAGATCTTCCACGTTCTTCCTTCTGTCATGGAGTCTGTGTTCACGCACTGTCAGGTACCTTAGAAAGTACAATTAAGATGTGCTTTTTAAAATTCTGTTTAAAAATTTACAAATAGAAAATGTTGAACTTTAAATTGAGATACTATATAAACTTAATGACCTAATGAAAACTCAGTTGTCTGCATGCAAATGGTACAATTCAAAACAATTTTTTTTTAATCTGTCATCCATCTCTAACTCACAAGAAGATACCCTTTTTTGTGGTTTATTCCTGAGACTTACTTTTCATCCAGGTGTATCTTTTTCATCTTTTCCATTGTCTTGCTGTCACCCTTGCCTTTCTTGTTGATGGACTTTGGTTCTGTGTAGATCTCAGAATCAGACTTGTAATCTGTGGAAGATGAAAGCAATAATCACATTTATTTGAGATCTAGAGAACTGCATGAATACAATACCCTATTTACAGCTGAACATCTTACTCTAAGGATGTATACCAAACAAAGTATCAGTCCAGAAAACCTGACACAACATACCTTTCTTTGGATGGGTCCTTGTTCCTGCATCAGAATGGTCATCGAACTAGATATAGGGGGAATAAAAATATATATTAATTATACTTTAAATAGAATCACCTTCCCAATACATTGCTAAACTATGCTTTCAATTAGAGTTAGAAAAGACACTTACAGCACTGACTTCATCCTCTGTGTGGACTTCTGATGGTCGACTCAGTCTCCCACCCATTTTATTCTTGGTCTAAAATAAATATTTAGATAAAAACAATTATGCATGTTCAAGATAAAACCTACAACAAGCATCAGAATTTATTGATGTATTGAACCCTGACCTTTTCCGTCTGTTGTCGCATGCGACTGATTTCTTCGTGTTGTTGAAGAATTAACTGTCTCTCTCGAGATGCTGCCTTGTTCTGTTCCTGAAGACGTTTTATCTCAGCCTGTGACAAATAAATGAAAATATTTATCCTCATAGTGCCTATGAATTACCAGTCCTCATTTCAAAATAATCTTGAAATTTTGTTAACTGCTTATCTACAATTTTTTTCCATGGCTGTTGAAGTCTTTTCACTGAATACGTACCTGTTGTTCCTGGAGCCTCATTTTCAGACCTCGTTGTTTTTTGATGATTTGTGGGAAGGTGTCGTCTGCTCCTTTGTTTCTGATTCGTTGTTTCTGTTGTTCTAGCCAAGATAACTCAGCTTTTGTTTTCTCCATTAGAGCTTTCTCTCGAAGTTGAAGCAAAGATGCCTAGATATTCAGAATTAAAAATATTTGTATTGAATACAAATTTTCTATGTAAAGACAAATTCCATCCATGGAAGATAAAAAATAACTATTTCTATTTGATGCAATAAGCATGAGCAATTTAATGTAAAAAATTTAGCATTTGCAAATTGATATTAAAAATAAAAAAAAACAAAACAGAATAATTGGATTAATTTGATAGTATACTCAACTTAAAATAATTTCTTTGTCCTAGTTAACCATTTGAACCTATGACTTGAACTCTGACCTGATGCTGGGCCCTTAGTTCCTCTTCTCTCATGAACTGTTTGACCATCTCTTCAGTGAACTTGTTGAAGGAGTCCTCACCAATAAATGAACCCAGATCATCCATGGAGTAGCGAGGAGTAGCAGGAGCTGTCAAGATAAATAGAACCAATTCAAAATGCAGTGAAGAAAGTGTTCTAAAATCTACAAAGTCACACTCTCAGAGATAATAAGAATTATCATATTAAATGGACATCATTTCATCATCCTTTTTAAAACAAAAACTGGATTAGTCTTTAATTGAATGGAAAGAATACAGCAAAACTCAATATTAAATAAATTTTTCACTTTTACCTGACCCACTGCCTTCGTCTGAGGTGACAGACACATTATCCAGTTGTTTTTTGGCACGTTTGCGGTGACTCTCTGAGGGCAGTATGGACCTGAAGCTGCGGTCCATCTCATCCTCAGTCATCGTCTCGTCCAGCGTGTAGTCCTCCAGCTCCTCGCTGATGCTGTCCTCCTTCAGACTGTCGTCCTTACCCTCGGCCTTACTGAGGGACCGGATAGAGGAGTCACTGTCAGCCCCTCGCTGGGAATCACTGGCCGTCCTCACATTCTCATCAGCGCTACAGAAAATAAAGACAAGTACAGTTTCCTAATTAGGAAAAAAATACTAGGTTTTCTAACAAAATTTTTTATTGCTTTGGGTGCAATAGAATCTGTAGCCATCTTGTTTGTTCAGGATCCTATACTGACCTTTGAGTTCTGGTTGATGTGTCGGAGTAGGTTGTGGGCCGAGTGTAGGACTGAGTTGCTGTGCGAGCAGACTCGGGTGCATGAGAAACACTCTGAAAACAAGATCAATGTAACTGTTACATTACAAACATCTTACTTTTGCACAAATCTGATTCAATCAAACAATATTCTCTATTCTACTTAAAGCACTCATGTAAACATTGTATTTTGATTCAAGATGAACTTAACTTTTTTGCTAAAACTAGCTTTACTAAAATTAGCCTAGATATTCACCACGTGACAAACACACAACAGAGAACAATAAAATCAAAGTACTCAAAAGTACAGAGAGCCGGGCTCATTTACAGAGTAGAATGGATTTCTTACATGAATCACGTTTATATTCTGATGAAAAAACTATTTTAAAACTATCAATATAAATGATAAGACACTGAATTCAGAATCAGAATTAATCTGGTACCCAGCTGAATGTAAACAAACAGGCCAGTCTGGTTCCCTCTCCTGCTTTTCCTCGTACAGAACTACGGTAACACACAAAAATCCAGCTAATGAACTATGTTCTTTGACTTACGAGGTATTCAAAGTCATTACTACTAATGCTTACTTTATATAGATAAAACTTCGTTTTAGTTTTGTTGCTTTATTTAGCGTTTGTATTATCTCAAAAGCGGTTGAGAGTAAGAACTATATTTTTGCACGTAACTTTAAAATGGGGTCAACATCCTGCCTTGAACAGGATCACATAAGCCGGCAATTGCTCTTTGAGCAATAAGCCCGGCTAAAAATATTATACCTGGAAGCTTAACATTCTTAAACATAAACCTTATTGTGATCCATCTATAAACCAGTCTGTATACCTGTTTACCGGCCTTCCTAGGCCTGATATTATCACTGCTCTCTATTGGCCGAGCACTGGTCCGATGACTACTGAGCCTAGACAGAATTTCCTCTGCTCCATCAGAAGCCGCACTGCCACGCAGTCTAGCATTCTGTAATTCTGACGTAGCTTCCATGGCCTCTTGTTGGGCTTTGCCCTCGAGTAGCTTCATGTCTTTTTCATGAGCTTGTTGTCTAGCCTATATAAACATATCACCATAAACACAACATGTAGCCAACTTTAACACCAAGAAAATACTAGCTTCATTAACATTATGAAACATTCTTAAAAAGTAGCATGTGGTAAAATAATGAAGTGATATGAATAAATATAATTCAGATATGTGCACCTGAATTTCATGAACAAAACAAAGACAAATTTATTTCTTGCACATTTTCTAAGTAGCAAAGAAAACAAGAATACTACAGTCAGTCTAGCTTTTATATACTCGTACCTTTAGCATCTGAGCCAGTGAGACGGTTTCCTGCTGAGCCATGGACACGGCTCGAGTCCTCTCCATTCCTGTCAGCTGTCTCATAGACTCCTCCATACTCTCCAGCTGGTTAAGCTCAAGGTAAAACTTACGCTCGAGCGAGTTCGGGGACAATCGTGGAGGGAACTGTCTGGACTCGGATTCTTCCCCAGGAGGAGAAACTCTGTCTAGCGACATACTTTGGCTCTGCAAACGAAAATTGTTATCTAAGTATGATCATCAGATTCAAAATTAAAAGAAATTCCCATTAGTTAATTTGTTATCCATTGTACAGACTGAATTACACATTTCCTACCTCCTCCTCATTAGAGAGTTCCCCATCAGGACCCAGACTGGTAGGTTTACTGCCCAGAGGTCTGTACCCTGACTTGATGGAAGATTTTTCCGACACACGCTTACTGACTTTTCCCGAGTGTTTCTCTTCATCACTAAAAGATCAAGACATCAAGTTATAATAAGGCATAGCTGTGAAATGCTCAAAATTGCCTCAATTGGCAAAACCAATACTATAGTTAAATATATAAAACTAGTACATTTTGGTGCAAAAATCAGTATTTATCAGAATGTTCACTGTTAACTTGTTAAAATAATTTTTTTTTCATCAAGTAAGGAGCCTTATGCTTTTCTAAGACAATTTTTTCCTCGTTATTGTACCTTTCTAAAGACTGTGAGTAGGACTCTCCCTCTATGGTGTCCTCATCACTGTCATGTGACTCTGCTGTAGTCGCACTATAGCCCGAGACCTTGGGGTGTGTGGCATCACTCCTTACAAACAGAAATAGAACACTTATAAATATCAAGTAAAAATTTATTTAGTAAAGGTGAAAAAAATTCTTATTGATCCAAATTAAATGATGCACTCTTTATTCAAAATAGAGAAATCTAATGGTATCAAACTGCTTTAAAATTATTTGCATGAATTATTGAATAATTCAAAATTATGAAAACATTTTAGGCATGACATGAAGTGTTGACAAAAAACCACCAAAGAAAAATCAAAAGATTTTATTTTCTCTGAATTATTTTTAGAAAATACCAATGCATTTAAAACTCAGATTTTCAAAAAAAAACACAATTCTGCAATTTGTACCTGGACTTGTAGACATTTCTTTGGCTCCCTGAGACTGGATGAGAAGTTTCACTACGGATTGACCCCGCTGCACTCTGACCCTTGACACCTGTGGAGTTGTGTGCACCTGAGGGACTCTGAGTTCGGAGGTTTGAGGTCACTTTGGTCGATTTGTAAACAATGGAATGCTGGGAATGAGTAGGATCTGCTCGGAAGTCTTCTTTCACAGACGTTCGTTGTTGTTGGACTTGTACTTCGCTGGCAGACGAGCGAGGTCTTCCTGCTGTAAAATAAAGAGAGACATGCACTGTGGTTTTAAGAAAAAAAACTAAAAATTAAGTACATGCAATCATTGTCTTTGTAATCATTTGCTGAATTTAAATTTCTGAGTACTAACAGGATTTTTCTGTTACTTAATTGCCACTCACACACAATTTTAATAGAATTTAATTTTTGTCAAACTGATTTCAATATCATTCTACCTTGATTTTTCTGTTTTCTGGCAAATATACTGAGTACATTATAAGGATCTGGGGAGGGACTTTCCCAGGAGTATCTGTTGGGTTGGGAGGGGTGACTTGGACGGGGTATCACAAATTCCTCAGCTGGGGGCCGACTTCTGCTGCCAGCGTGGAATTCTCTCTGCTTCAGGCCAGTTCCAACCTACAGGTAAAAATTCAAATAATTAAATATTTCATTCTAATAAAGCCAATTTCTATTTTTAAAAATTAAACACAAACACAAAATTCCATCTATTATACAGAAGGAGCAATGTTTGGGTTATTTCCTGCATTCTAACATTCCCTGAGATAATGAAAACTGTTACAGACAAGTACCTATAAGAATTATGATTCCGTAAATCTGGAAATTTTTACTGTAGATAAATTTTTAGCAAATTTGTGCATGCATTGCATTCGCAAAAATATTTTTCTTAAAAATAAATCAACATGTAAAGAAATTTTTTTCCTGAAAGCTGGTGTCTATTTTTAAATCAGTGAATACTGGTAGGCTTCGGTAAGCACTGGTCATTTTAAAAAAGAAACATGTTTATACTACTGTAACTACAAGCTATTTACCAGTCCGTGTAAATTGTCCTCATTATATGCAATACCGTCCGATGGTTTGAAAAGCACTGAGATGGTGTGTCCCTTTTTAATTATTTTGCCAAGAAAGAGAGACCAGTTATTTTATCTAACCATGTATCAACACCGGCGATAACTCGAACTCAGTGCATTTACTACAGAGTAAACACGGCGTGTAAACTGTAGGTGAGAATAAACCAAATGTTGAGAAAATTAGTTATATTTTTGTTTTCATTTGGATTATATTTTACCCTAGGTTAAAAGGCATAAACAACCTCTAAAAGGTTTGTTATAATTAATTTAGAAGTTATTTTCAGTGCAAATCCTTTTGTATTTTTATCTTCAAATTTTTTTTCCAAGTGATTCTGCAATTTCTTGCCATGTTGCAAGTATATTGGTGGTATTCTAACTGTGCATACTAATTTGAAACATAAACTGATATGAAAATCTTAAGTGATTTTATTTTTAGCGCCAGTGACAATTCGCAAAATCTTGAAACGTAAAAATTAATCAACAGCTTTTTTGACCCAAATTCGCAAAAATAAATCGACGTAAAATTTCCAGATTTACAGTAGTAATGATGTACATATACTGTAACTTTTGTTTGAATCAGTTACCTTGCGGTGGGTGAGTGAATCTTCTTCGGACTCTTCAGTCACCGTCACAGAGATTGTGTCTGTCTCCGATATCGTGTCATCCTAAAATCATACATATTTGTATACATATTATAGAACTCTTCAAGGTTGACAGATGTTTAAAATAAAACCTTCATGTTAAATGTTATTTACAAGCTATGTCATTCTTATAAACATGCAGATATACAATACAGAAGTATGGAAACTGCTGTGAAATTTATTGACCTGTATACGACATAATTCACACATACATGACACCTATTTATGCTAACTTAGAGAAACCTAAGTGGTCATTCTGACCCCCTAAAAAAAATCTTTAAAGTCAAATAGAATTTTTAATGGTCAAAGTGAATTCTGGTTTTACTTTTAAATAGCTATAAAAGCTTTGTTTTTTTTTTTTTACATCTTTATTTGATGTTTAAGAAATGAAACATAAAGTTTTCTGTGTGGTTTTATTTACAAATTTTACAGATTCTTGTACCTTGCAATTGTCACTCCAGAACTGACCACTGAAACATTTGTTTGGACCTTTAGTTAAACTATTCAACACTTGAGCCTTGACCTTTTCACCTACAGTCTATCTGAATTTTTTATGCCTACATGGTGTATTTCATAAAGACTTCAACTTTTCACCTGGTTTGTGAAGAATTAAATTGTATGAAATTTTCATAGCTTATTTTCTGAGAGTTCTTTTGATGGATTGATTTTGGGAATATTTCTTACACTTGTATGCTTTTTTTACCCATATATATGCACTAACATAAACATTATTTCACTATTATTTTGAACAGGTTTTAAAACATGATCCATTTGACCTCCTTCTTTCACGACTTTAGGGATGGTTTGCTTTAGTTTTAAATTTGCATTTACCCTTACACAATCCTTAATAGATCTATTATAGTACTGTATTCTGTATAGAATTATTTACTCCTGCCACACTTACAAATAATCTTGTCCCATTACACCTTTCCCATAACACACAATTGTGTTGAAAGAGAAATAACTCGGTGTCTTTTTAATTTACACATTGAGTATCCACCTAATGATTGCAAAAGGAATGAAAACAAGAGGCCCAAGGGCCACATCGCTCACCTGAGCACATCTACTAGGAAAAAGCACATATCAGATCAAAACTGAAAGTTTACGGGGGGGCTTGAATTTTAACCCTCCTGGGTGTCATGATTTGAACAATGCAGAATCTACACTACCTGAGGATGATTCCATATAAATAGAAAAATATCACTAATGATGGCTTTGAAGTACTTGAAAAGAAGATTTTAAAGGGTTTCCCTATATATCCTTAATATGTACAACTTTGGTCAGCCATTTTGGGCCCAAAACTAGCCCCAGAGGTAATGATTTGAACAAGCTTGAATCTTCACTAAATGAGGATGATTCCACATAAATTTCGTCTTTCCTGGCCCAGTGGTTCTTGAGAAGAAGATTTTTAAAGTTTTTCCTATATATTCCTATGTAAAACTTTGGTCAGCCATTTTGGCCCCACCCTAGCCCCTGGGGTCATGACTTAAACAAACTTGAATCTACACTACCTGAGGATAATTTCATTTAAGTTTCATCTTTCCTTTCTCAATGATTTTTAAGAAGAAGATTTTTAAAAGATTCCTATGTAAAACTTTGGTTGGCTATTTTGGCCCCACCCTAGCCCCGGGGTCATGATTTGAACAAACTTGAATCCACACTACCTGAGGATGATTCCACATGAGTTTCATCTTTCCTGGCCCAGTGGTTCTTAAGAAGAAGATTTTTAAAGATTTTTTCCTATATACTCCTATGTAAAACTTTGATCGGCCATTTTGGCCCCACCCTAACCCCGGGGGTCATGACTTGAACAAACTTGAATCTACACTACCTGAGGATGATTCCACATGAGTTTCATCTTTCCTGGCCCAGTGGTTCTTGAGAAGAAGATTTTTTAAAAATGCTATTAATTTTTCACTAATTCATAATTATCTCCCCTTGGAAGAGGGCGTGGCCCTTCATTTGAACAATCTTGAATCCCCTTCACCCAAGGATACTTTGTGCCAAGTTTGGTTGAAATTGACCCCGTGGTTCTTGAGAAGAAGATGAAAATGTGAAAAGTTTACGACAACGACAGACGACGGACAAATTTTGATCAGAAAAGCTCACTTGAGCCTTCGGCTCAGGTGAGCTAAAAAAAATCCAGTAGTGGTGGTGGCAGTGGTGGTGGGGGGGGGGGCATTTCTGTGTATCAAGTAACGTTCAGTAAATTTCTCCCAATTTTCCGTACCTCCTCGTGAAGTTCCTTCCTGTGACTAGTTTTGACGGAGTTTCCCGAGGGTAGTTTCCAGTTCATGCTTTGTCGCACCGTGTGACCACGATACGCCGCCTGGATACGGATGGCTGCCGTTTCTACTGGATTCTCGTCCGTCGGCCCAGAGTCTCGCGTAATCCTCTGTTGACCTATAAAAAGTTATTCCCAACATTGAAGGTTTGTTAACATTTTAACTAGTTTTTCTTACATTAATTTTTCTCCCATTAAAATATAGTTGAACCTTGGTATTTCAACAACATCTTAAATACCATGCATGGGCTTTCTGTATGTATTTTAACTTATTGTAATCCGACTTTTATTCGCATGCTAGAAATATTCGCGAACCTTATCATCGCGAATATTTCTAGCCGCAAACCGGTCCTTAAAGCTTGAATCTTGAAACATTGAATATCTTGAAAGTTTTCTTTCAGTTCCAATGGGTCTGAGATAATGAAGTTTGACTGTATATATAAATTGATTGGGAAAGAAATCTTAAACTTCATAACTTTATGTCTCAAATAGCCCATGAAAATGAAAGAACTCATACCTGGTAAATTGGATGAAAAAACGGAGAAGTCTTGTTGAGCACCGGTTAATCTCTCGTAACGTGTTAATACAAAATCTTCCTCTTCATTTGACTGAGGTAATGCCCTTTTCTTGTACACTATAAATATATCATTGATATTGTAAAACTTCAAAATAAAATGTTCATTCTTGGTATTCTTAAATTGTATGTATTAATTTTATAACAAGTATTTTATTTTTTTACCCAGTGTATTTTCCCTACAGTTAATTAATTCTAGAATTATTTCATGTTTTACAATATTGTGTGATATGAATATAAGCTCAGAGAGCTTTTGAGCTCAAATATATAAGCTCAAGATTCAAAGAACAAGCTCTCATTAAGGGTGAAAAGAACTTTTATAAGCGACAAGTGTAGTTTATCAGTATTTAGTAGTCAAAATTTTGCACAATTTCTTGGAACAGTTCCACACAGATAAGGCAACTTATCTATATTCTCAGGCTTGGTTAAGTTAATTACATGACTATAATGAGCTAAGCATTAGATCTATCTCTTGCTCATCAATAGATTGTGGTTATTTCCCATTCAGCACCTCTGCAGGACAAGCAGAGCCAATCAAAACCTCCAGTGGACCTTAAACGACCCGCTTAAAACACATGTCAATCAAACACAGAAATCTACTATGCAGAGAGGTGCAAATGCAGTATGCATCATCATATGAGGTGATTGCAGACTTGTATTAATTATGATTCCTAGAGATTCCTACAGTAGGTAAAATGTGCCACAACAGAGTCTTTAAATATAATATCCCCAAATAATTTACATGCATATTGTGGGCTGGTCTGACTCTATTTACGAGGGCCGTGATAGTTGGCATGCAATAAACGATACTGACGAGTCATCTGTTTACATAATATACGAAAACTGAGTTTGTGTAAATAATGTGATCCTCATATAAAAAGGAATATTCCTTTTCCATCATAAAAATAAATGCTAGGGTAAACAAAATGATAGCTTGTTTGGGCCCTCTCAGCAAATAATCAAATTGAAAACCAAACATGTCACCTTTCTATTTTTTCCCCCTAAATTTCTCTTGCTTTATTGGTAAGCTCACTCAGAAAGCAGCAATAAAAACCTTATCTGATGTCTGACATATTGTAGAAAATAAAGTGGGAAAACAGACCTACATAATGGAAAGAGGGTGAAATTTATATCCCTACATATTCTTACCCTCTTTATTATAGCATTTTTGTTTAAATTTAAGGTAGGCCTACTTTTTAGATTTTTAATATGCAAAACAAAATATAATGTATAAGATTTTAACCAACGTTTTAAGCTCATTCAGAATTTTTGTGTACTTTCCCAATTTACAACTTGAAATTAAATATCCAGAATACAATGCAAAAACACATAAAGACACCCCCATTTAAACTAGTCATTTGAAAATAGAAAACTGTAATTAGAGCTATAATCTTGAGTGTGAAGTTTGTTGAACTGGAAATAGAAGACCAATTGAAATAATTTTAATTGTGTACCCTGTTAATTAGCAAATAATAAGAATGAAACACTGGGGGTTGTTTACTTCATGAGAAATGGTTATACACTTCAAAATGAAGTTGGATCAATGGAATTTTTCAATTTCAATGCTGTTTATCAAAACTATTACCTTATTTATCCCTATAAGAGCCCTACACCAATTAACATGGAAAATGCTGCAGTTTTAAGATCAAAATGTTTTTAAATTTTTTTTACTCAATTGTTGTAAAACAATCAAATTCTACTTAGTAAAAGTAGGTTAACATGAAATTCTTAAAACCACACTTGAAAAAAAAAACCTACCAGATAATCTATAGCCATAATTTATATACTGAATATACTCATTCACTTATAAAAGAGCTTACAACTAACACAATTTTCCCTACCCAAAATCTCACACCGCTGATCTCATACAATTGAGTCATACATATAAGCGAGAGGTACTTGTGCTTTCAGAATGAAAAGTAATTCTGCATGTTGTGAGGGGTGCTTTTTGGGTGGAATATTGCAAACTACTTCTGATGACTATCCAAACAAGCACATTTATTTTTCTTGCATATAGGCGTATTTATCATCCTTCAAAGCAACTACATTTGTGAAATTTTTTTGAAAATTATCTTAAGGCATAAATAATTTAAAAAATGATTCATTTCAATGGACAAAAGGATTGAAAACTACTTCATTTACTTTTCGTAAATACACAAGTGTTTTTAGTTTACACAGACATTTCTTTCAAAATGTGCTGAACTAGTTTTTCTTCACAGTAAAAATGTTGAACATGAATATAATAGAAAATAATCTACTCAGGTGTTTTGAATGCAGGTATTAGGTAAACATTTCTCTTTATTCTTTAATCCATTGTTCACGATCCAATTGTTAAAGGCATAATGCTAGGACCTCCAAAAGAAAAAAAGCCATATATGCCAATAAAATACATCAACAATGTGTAATTATTTCAGGATACACTGCTTTCTGGACCATTATAGAACAGCACTTTATGACCTAGTTTCATATAGAGAGATAAAAAAATCATAGGTAATCAAACATATAAAACACATGCCATAGGAAAAATCTAAAGAAAACCAGCTCAATTTTATTTTTGAAAAAAGGGAAGGGTTTGGGTAGGGGGGTTTCTTTCTAAATTTTATATCATTGCCGTCACAAGACTGCAAACAATTAGTATCACTGGCTGCAATGAAATTTTCTGTGGCACAAATGTGAGAGTAACACAGCAACAGATAACCCACAATGCACCCTAGATATGTGCCTGGATGATAGAACAAGAGCTTACATTCATGGTTGTCCCCAGTGAATTTGGAGGTTTCGGCCTGAATTTTCTGCTGTAGCGTGGCAGCTGTGTTCATTATGGCCTGTATCCTGTCTGCCTTGCTCCGGCCACTGCCCGGGTCCTCACTCCCGTAAACGTGCGGCCGATCCTGACTTCCTGTGGACGACCCGGAACCTCCGTATCCAGAATTAATATCATTACCACGGCTGTGTAAAGCCTCCGAAAATTTGCTTAGTACACCATCCACATTGAACGTTAATCCACCTAGGTTTTTCACATTAGCACTATTTAAGTTTCCATCTTGAACACTATTTCTTTCGTGGGCATCACTCTTTGGTTTAGATTTGGCATCTTCAAACTCAACCCTAAATATACCAACAAAATAAATAATAATAATAATAAAATTCATCAATCTTTTATTTTATTTTATTATTTGTACAAGGTTACTGGTATGAAGAAATATGACTATGAATACTGGTATGTATACCATTTAACATTTCTATTAAGTCTGGCTCCAAGAGGTCAAAACAAAGTTTTCGGAAAAGTACACTAACTTTTCTTTTTTATTACATATGCTGCTTGATAAAATATATAAAGGGTCACATCCTTGATCATTTATTTTATTCTTGCTTGTATCAATAACCTGGCAATGAGCACTTAGATAGCAATAGTTTAACTTAAGAAAGGTTGTTTTCACTTTGCAAACATTCCAAAAACACACATTAAATGGACCAAAATTTAGACAAAGTATTAAATTTCAAAACTAAATATTTGATGAGCCCCAGAAAAACTCCATTCTACTGAATGAATTTCAATGGGGAATTCCAACAACTCCAACACATAATGACCTTGGACCCTTACTTTAACAAGTCAATGCTGTGCAAAATTCACATTCATGTTAAGAATCTTTTTTTAAAAGCTCAAACAGAGCAGAATTCTTGATCCCATACCTTAAGGACTTGGTGCTAAGTACAGGAAGAATATTCAACCTGAGAGAATTCAAAATAATTTAAAACGTAATTTTTTTCTCTGATTTGTAAATAACAAGGTATAACTCTAATTGACTCCTTATCTTTAAAACCTTTAAATCAGGACCAAATCACTGTCTTAGGTTACCAGATCTCAGTCATTTAAGACCACATATTTTGTCTTCCTGTTCATGTGAACTTTCTAGATTTAATTTTTGAATAAAATAATTGGATAGCACAAAAACTGGTTTTCACAGTATAATGTAAACACAAGCAAACAAACTAAACTTCTTAATCAATCTGACAGAAACTTCTTGCTGCTTCTGCTGTCCATGGAAGATTAACATTTTCAAGCCTTAATGGTCAATATTTCTCAGCACTTTCTACTGACAGCAAAACAAAGGCCTTGGGAAAGTAGCATTTTTTATTCAAAAGCTTTTGGATATTGAAGGTGGGGTGGGGGTGGGGGGTGGTGAAAGGGGGGGTGGGAGGATGTTCTTATTACCCAGTAGGCTATCGGAAAGTAATGTAGGTACATTTAGCAGTCAACATTATCAGGTACCTAGGAGTAATGGTGGGAGTGACAGCTTCTAGAGATTCCCCTGTCAACGTGGAGCTGTCATCGGACATTTCCATTTCCTCTTCTCTCGGCGGTATCCCAGCATGCCTCTCTCTCTCCGACTCTGTGGTAGCCTGCATAGTAAAATAAACCAAGATGCATTTATTTACCTGTAAATCACTGAAACTTTTGGCTTTGATCTTTAACATACAGTCACCAGTTGACTTAATAGTCAGTGCCTTCCTGTACATCTGTACTTTATGGGATTGATTTTTTTCTTATTACTAACTTTTAACAATGACAATGTAATCCTCCCAAGCTAAAAATACTGTCTCTATGTGATTTTGGTGCTGGGTTTCCATATATCCCTGTACAGAGTTATTTAGAAGAAGCATTAAATCAGTTCTTATCTGCACTTAGCCAGAAGTTCTAAGAAATTCCTGGGACTTTACACCCATACCGACCAAATTCAGTTAATATATGTACATATATAAATGTAATCTAAAAACAGGACAAAATTTATGTTGACGACTTTCAGTGAATTCAGTGCATTGCCTTATTTATCATGGTAGTTAATTCCATACCATTGATCCAGACTGAAGATCCTCATGAAATGGATGGTGTCTGGGTAGTTCCATGTAGGACATTGGAGCGTGGGTAAATGTCTCATCGTGGGCTTTACCCTTACTCCGGGCACCTGCCGACTTGGTGGGCCTCTTGGAGCTGTGGGCGCTCTGTTTCTGCTTGCTCCTCAGCTCCTCGAGTTGCTGACTCCTCATCTCCTGGGCCCGCTGTTTCCTCTTCTCCTCCTCACGTTGCTGTCTCAGCCTGTCCGCCTTCTGCTTCTGGATGAAGCGGCGGACTTCTTCTTGGTCGTAGTGTCGTTGTTTGGCATTCGATTGTTTTTCAGGTTCTGAATAAAAAAGAAAGTGTTTGTTTCTCCTGAACAAATTTACTACATACATAAAATATAATTTGATTTAATATTTTAATATTGTGTCTTAAATGTTACTTGAACAACATCAATAGCTATATTTTTTTCTTCAAATTTAATTCTTTTAAGTTGTCCCTAAAGACCTTTTCATAAAAAACAGATGTACTCCTTCAAATTCCAGATGTTTTCTAGATAGATTTATTTGCACATTTATGGCAAATCGAATTTTTAAAACACTTTATGGAATTTTAGGAAATAATTGTGTCATTCTTTCTCTGTTGATAAGTATTTGAAGCCCTACATAAACACACTAATCAATATTAAACACTTTTCTGTACTTTCAGTGGTGTTACAAGATAAGGCTGTTTTTGAAAAAAGTCTATTTACCAGGTAAGTTGGAACAGCATGCCTACCTTGGCCCCTTTTTCTACGACTAATACATCAAGGGATACAGTCTAAGTCACCAGCAAACATTTTTAATCAAATCAAAAATCAATGGATCTGTTTTTTTTTTTTTTTGGCAAACAATAGGTAGAACTTTTAAAAATACGTAAATTTTTCCAAACTGTTAAAATTGAAAAAAACAACAACAATATGACTGGTGTTTACCAAATATACAAAATAAAACTAGGTTGAGTCATCTGGACATTTTCCCCCACTATTTTTACAATACTAACACTATAGTTTTGTTTTGACATTTTATATTTTCTATGCAGAGAAGAGTACTTAAATTCTAACATCTATGAGAGCGAGATAAAATGTCAGGGGTTGTAAAACAAATTATATCTCATTAATATTTCTCAGTTATGATTCAATGGGGGTCAAGGCTACAAATTTTTGGCTCCAGGACAATACCTGCAAGACAATCAGATAAATATCTACTACGTGAATATTGGCAATATACACCCATAACCAAACAGACTTTGGGGCACATTACGTAAATATTTTGACCTTTTAGCCATTCCAGTAATTAAACCTACCCCCTTCATTGACAATTACTTTAATCTGTTACGTAGAATGCTGTCTTTAAGTAAAGAATAATTACATAATGATAGAAAACATTCCCCGCCATTACTTCCTTTGCTAGGTGTTACAAGATTGAGATAGAAAACTTAAGTACCAGAGGACCTTTCCAAACTTAATGATCAGAATTCAAATATTTAACTGGCCTCACTTATAACATGCCAAATATTTCTTGTTTAAAAGAAATGAAAATTGAATTTAATTGAATTGTTAAGTTATTGATTACATAACAAATATTTGTATTAAATTTCTTGTCGTCGTGTTTCGCGTTCTTATCGACGGGATCACGCTGGGGTATCCCGTTATTAGAATCAGCTGGACCGCCATTCCATTAAACGCCAGCTCTAAACCCTATTGTCATGTCATTCGATCTAGATTAAATCCGGTATCCAATTTCTGGTATACACAAGCCAATTTAGAAAGAAAAAAACTGGCATGTTTAAATTTTCAGTGCACAGAAACAATGAAATACAGGCTTGATCACTGTGATTAAGGCTTGAGTCTACACACTGTGGTATTCAATATTGGGGTATTTAAACACGCCTTAAATAGAGCATTCCCTGTACTATCACAAAAAAAATTTATCTTAAAGATTCAACAAGCCTATAATCAAATTCTGAAAATGCTGTAGAAATTTTGATTTCCTATCCTAAAAAGACCCTTCCGTATACCATTTTGGTATTCTAAAACTTATTAAATTTTTCACAAAATAATGTCATGTTGATGTGAATTATATTATCATGTTCTGCATCATTTGAAACATATTTTCTTAGATCTGCTTTATAACAAAACACTGTATCCTGCAATAGTCTTTTTGTGATATGTATAAAATTTTGCATAACAAATTCATGGCTTACTAATGTTACTTTTTTTTTAAAAATCATAAACTTTGGCTCAATTCAAAATTAGGCACTTCTGTGCAAAAGAAAAAAAACAAAAACAAAAATTGAGATTCTTGCTTGAATAAAGTTCAAGAAAATTCAACAAACTTCGGCATAAACACATGAAAAGATTTATTCTGATTGAAAGGTTCATCCACCTTTTTATGTCATCCCCACAGTACACACTGCATGACACCATACAGGGAATTGGTCAACAATTTCAAAGAATTCGAAGCAATGCACCTTATTTAGATATCCTGCTCTTAAAACATGACTACCAAATCATTTAAATTCTTCTGAGAAAAAAAAAAACACTTAAAAATTGGAAACACCTTCAAAACAAGATACAGCTCTATAACAATTCCTTCCCATCAGTACACCAAACTTTATTATTTTGTTTCAGACTTTTTGCTTCTTTATCAGTGCACAAGTTTCAGACATTTCTCTGGTGATTACCTTATTTCTTACAGCAAACCATTCCCAATTGTATATTTGTGAAGGATTTTCCTCTATCATGAAAATTCATTGTTGCACAATAAAAGTTATAGGGATAACTGGTAGGTTTACAACATACTGGTTCCCTTTTTGGTCCTCGATACTCACCTGTTGTTTTACTGGCCTTCCTCTTGGCTGATCTCCTCTGTTTAATACTAACTTGTCATTTTACTGAGTATATTGGTCCTCTGATGGTCCTCGATACTCACCTGTTGTTTTACTGGCTTTCCTCTTGGCTGATCTCCTCTGTTTAATACTAACTAGTCATCTTACTGAGTATATTGGTCCTCTCATGGTCCTCGATACTCACCTGTTGTTTTACTGGCTTTCCTCTTGGCTGATCTCCTCTGTTTAATACTAACTAGTCATCTTACTGAGTATATTGGTCCTCTCATGGTCCTCGATACTCACCTGTTGTTTTACTGGCTTTCCTCTTGGCTGATCTCCTCTGTTTAATACTAACTAGTCATCTTACTGAGTATATTGTCCTCTCATGGTCCTCCTCACCTGTTGTTTTACTGGCTTTCCTCTTGGCTGATCTCCTCTGTTTAATACTAACTAGTCATCTTACTAAGTATATTGGTCCTCTCATGGTCCTCGATACTCACCTGTTGTTTTACTGGCCTTCCTCTTGTCTGATTCCCTCTGTTTAAAACTAACTTATCATTTTATTGAGTATATTGGTCCTCTCATGGTCCTCGATACTCACCTGTTGTTTTACTGGCCTTCCTCTTGGCTGATCTCCTCCGTTTGATATTGTCCTCATTCTCCTTCCCAGGCTTGTCATCCTCCTCATTTTCTGAACCTATTTAGAGGACATAATTTTATTGACTAATGTATTACTGCTTTTTAAATAAGAAAATTATAAAATAACTCTTAACCAAGGAAGAATATTTGCAAAAAGCATACACACATTTCTTCAAATATTGTATATTGATTCTTCTATTCATTAGTTTAATGAAGACAAACACAATTAAAGTGAATATTGACCTAGATATTTAATGCTTACCCATATATTTCATTTAACAAATAAATTAGATACTGGTCTAGATATCTAGTTCTCCATTTACCCATATTGAGATCAGACAGCACTTTTCTGGCCTCTTCAGACAAGGCCTTGGCTCGTTCCAGTTCCACCGTTGTTGCAGTTTTCGGCTCAGCCACTTCCTCTCGTTTATCTTTTTCGTTGTCATTGTTACTGGCCCCAGTGGCTGGTGGTCTGATATCAACAGAGGCCTCACCTAAAAATATTTTCAAAAGTTAAAAAAAAATTCTAAAATGTCTTTCCATGTGAGAGAGATGTATTTGATAACTTTTGCTTTCAATACCACTTTCTTGTTTTACACAAAAAATGGGGAGAAAAATACCCATAATTTGCCTTTTTAAAAATAAATTAAAGATCTAGTTATCAGCAATAGAAATTCATATCTCTGTCTTTTTAACTTTCATTTGATATTACATGCTAAAGTTTCACCACCCCCTTTCATAGGTAGGCCATTGTGTGTATTATATTACTTCAATCATAGAATCAAATATCAGATGTAAAATCAATTCATTCAGTTCCATGCGAGAGGTGAAACCTGGCTGACAGTGTTCCAAATACCCCACACACAGCTTCAAATAATGCATAGCAATTTACCGGCATCATTACATGCAGATCTGCACTTGCCGAATCTTGTCAAATAAATGTGATGAAAAGAGACACTCAGAGCCTGGATTAAACTGTCTGGCCCACACCCACTCCCTCAAAATAAATCAGTCTTTGCCTTTCTTCATCAAATCTAAGGGGGTCAACTTTTTTCGTCCTATGCACGGGGTGGAGAATGAATTTTGTACAGAATACAATGCATTTACACTGCCCTATGCAACACATTTTGAATAACAACCCATATTTTTATTATTCATATGGAAGTAATTGGTCCAGATCCACTTGACAAGATTGGGAAAATGGGTACATGCCTGTTACATTTACAAAGCTGTTTTTGAATTGAGTGCAGACTTCATTCAATAGCATTTTAGGCTAGTTTTATATCTCATCTATAAGAATATTATATTTGTCAATTTCTTTCTAATTGCAACTATCATGTTTTTATGGTGCTGGGTAAATACACTTTTGAATCTATCCTCTGTAGTTCGCAATTCTCGGCACTTATTAGCCTGCGATTCTCGACACTTACTAGTCTGTGACGTCCTTCGAGTTTTCGCTGGTCCAAGTTCTCGTAGAATCAGCTCTTGTCCTGCCCGCCATGATGATGTTGTTATAATATCTACAAACAAGTACAGATGACGTCTCAGGTGACAGCCGTTAAATTGATTTTTAAATTTTGGAACAAAATTAATGGAATATAATTTACTTATCAAAAGAAATAAAACATTTGTTCACATTCCATACGACTAAAAGTGCAGGAAGCATATTTTATCAAAGTGCATAAAATTGCACTTATAGAAAAAATACACTTTTTAACAGTGAGTCACTCATGGCAAAAATGCACAAGTTTGTTACTTGGGAAAAATAGTAAAGGTAATAAAATATGCATAATGGCAAAAGACAATAATTTGCACTAAGTCACGGAGCTCAAAACCACCAAATTATCCTGAGGCATATTTGTTACTTTAACAAATGTCATCAGACTCATTTATCTCGCCCTCTAATATCTTGCTCTTCTGCACTCACTTTCATTACCATCCGTCCCTCATTACTATTTCCATTGATTTTTTTATTTTCATGTGGACAATACCTTTCTTTGATTGCTTTTCAGGTTTTTTGTTGCTAGTGGCAACGATCCTTGTCATTTTCTTTTTTGGTTTGGTTTCCTCTGGGACGGATTCTACAATAAAAGATTATCATCTATACACGGTCTTATATACTTCAAAAGTGAATACAAATAATTCTACCTATGCTCACTAATCAGCACTCGTTGACAGTGGAATACATTTCCAATTATCTCTTCACTAGTTTTTCACGTTATTGACAAATGTAACCTATTAAAAATCATTCAGACAGGTTCAATTGGTTTCCATTATACCATAAAACCATTGATATAAGCCCCCCATTCTCCTTTAATCTTCTACTCCAAAAATAGTATTTTTCATATATGTGTATCCTTTGGATTTTGACCTTGACCTACTTACCTTTGGTGGCCTGTTCCATTTTCTTTTCCTGCAGTTTGAGGGCAGCTTTCTTTTTCTTTTCCCTCTTTCTCCAGTCCATTACTTTGGGGGGTTTGAAGTCTGCATATTTATACCTCACCTCTGCTTCACTGAAACCTACAAATAATTTTTTTTTTTTTAGTTTTAGTGCAAATGAAAAATTAAAGAACAATTCGCTGGAATGTTAAATATCAAATTTCACTTCATGATGTTCAGAATTTTATGGATATTCATAGTACAACTATTTCATCACCTTTTATTTCTATTTACATTCATTAATTTTTCATGTTTCATCATTTACATTCCTGCATCTCTTACATTTTCACAGTATTTCTTTTTTAAATGTTATAACACCTATCTCCCCTGTGTCCTACCTTTGTACGTTGGGACAGTAGGGGCGGGGGCCACCTTGCGAACTCGCCTCTGACTGTCGGCGCCATCTGGTGGTGGTAGGTCGTAGGAAGCTCGACTGAGTACAGGCTCATATTCATTGTGATGGTAGTGATGTGGACCATTCATAGGGTTCATATCCGCCTCCCCCATCTCATCATCATCCCCATTCCTATCTAGGTTATCAACTGTAGAAGAAGAGGTCTGGTAATTATAAAGTACTTAATTCTAGAATAATGTGTATAAAAAAATCTAGCATCCCTATCTGCAGTTCACTATGAGAACTTAAAATTTCTATTGACTTTTCATGCAGTGATCAATAATTCACACAATACAAACTCCAGGTGTGACATTGAGGCAACTACATCATCAGTTCATAACCCAATCCTAAAGCAGAGAGACTGCAAGTGAATGAAACTAAGAATCATATATATAATTATATATATTAAAATTCAAGATGTCCTTGGTATAGGTATGAACATATAGAAAAATAATCCAGAATTTGGAAAAGATGATCACATTTTATTCCAAAGCGCTTTCGCCATTCGGCTCTTCAGTGGATTTTGAATAACAATAGCAACATGACATGATAACGTCGTTATTATGACGTCATAATTAAAGGACAACGTTAAAATTTGGCGCAAAAAATGTCCGTAGAAAGCGCCAAATTCAAATTGAATAGACTTGACACTGTAAATGATACATATTTACACAATAATAATCAATAATTGATAAATTTTAAAGATTTTAAAAACAATATTTACAGTCATTGATTAAATCAGAACATTTATCTGTTTAGTTTAGGCTTAAATTTATCAATGAAATGTTGTTCTTTGGCCCGCCGTAACTGTTCATTTTCCTCAGTAACTTTATAAAACGGAAAGATACTAAAACGTCCTTTACCGCATTGTTCAAAATGTTCGCTGCACGGAGTATTTCTTACGGAAGGGTCCCTTATCTGCTGTTTGTGTACTCTAACACGGTCGGATATTTTATTTCCTGTTTGACCAATGTAATTTTCTCCGCAACCACGGCAAGTCATGCAATATATGACGTTCTTGGTTTTGCAGTTCATATTATGTTGAACTTTAAAATCTATTCCTGTTTTGAATGTGAATGATTCTCCGATTTGTATAAAATCGCAAGTTCCACAGCGTGGATCATCACATTTGGAAACTGTAAATATTTCCTTTGTAGAGGTGAATTTGGCTTTGGTGAGGATTTTTTTCAAATTTGGCGGTTGTCTTCTACTGTAAATCAAATTCTTCTCCGCAATAAGGTCGTTCAGATTTTTTGATTGTTGAAGTATGGGCAGGCACTGTTTCGTTGTGTTGAAGATGTTGAGATTTTTTGGATTATAAGTGACAACGAATGGAATTTCTGTGTGCATATTATCGGATTCATTCTTTCTGTTTACTTTCCGAAGTTCTGTAATTGGGATTGCTTCGGCTTTTCTTGTCGCTTCGGCTATAAGGTTTTTTGGATATTTTTGGCGGCGTAGAAAAACACTCAATTCTTCTAGTCTTTTTGTCCGACGTTTTTCGGAGAATCATTCACATTCAAAACAGGAATAGATTTTAAAGTTCAACATAATATGAAATGCAAAACCAAGAACGTCATATATTGCATGACTTGCCGTGGTTGCGGAGAAAATTACATTGGTCAAACAGGAAATAAAATATCCGACCGTGTTAGAGTACACAAACAGCAGATAAGGGACCCTTCCGTAAGAAATACTCCGTGCAGCGAACATTTTGAACAATGCGGTAAAGGACGTTTTAGTATCTTTCCGTTTTATAAAGTTACTGAGGAAAATGAACAGTTACGGCGGGCCAAAGAACAACATTTCATTGATAAATTTAAGCCTAAACTAAACAGATAAATGCTCTGATTTAATCAATGACTGTAAATATTGTTTTTAAAATCTTTAAAATTTATCAATTATTGATTATTATTGTGTAAATATGTATCATTTACAGTGTCAAGTCTATTGAATTTGGCGCTTTCTACGGACATTTTTTGCGCCAAATTTTAACGTTGTCCTTTAATTATGACGTCATAATAACGACGTTATCATGTCATGTTGCTATTGTTATTCAAATTCCACTGAAGAGCCGAATGGCGAAAGCGCTTTGGAATAAAATGTGATCATCTTTTCCAAATTCTGGATTATTTTTCTATATAATTATATATATATACATGATCATAATGGTAAATTTTCTGTCCTAAAGAAAGAAAACATGGCCCTCTGATATTGCATATATCACCTAAACCAAGAGAAACTTGACTCCATCATTACCATTCTTACATCATCCTTACAATTATTACATAATACTTGCAATTTTTAGCATTTTTTTTTTTACCTTGGTCTAATTTACAAATTTTATTACAATTTGTCTGGGAAAATGCTTTAGATTTATTTGAAGATGAATTAGAAAAATAATTTTAAAGGAAAAAAATTGTTTTTCTTTACTTATGTTAAATGATTCATAGCTAAGGAAAAAAAATGATGGAAAGTATGACATTGCATATCTACAGCATGGCAATCCTTTGAAATATGCATTTAAAGCATGTCAGTAAGAAGGAGGGACTACGTTAGAGTCATCATACATCATCACCATGGAATAATATTTAAGAAGTCAAAAGTTGAGCATACAGGTCAAGTGGCATGTTTATAAAATATAAACATTTTACGACATCAATTTAAACAGTTTACACTAGGGTGAGGACATCCTGCGTAAAAAGCTGAGAGCCAGTTTCTCTTAAAGATGGGTGTGACGGTTATTAGTTCAAGAACTCGATCCCCAAATAAAACGGCACTTTGTTGACAGGTAAATACATCAGACATGTGTAAAATCTCAGACGCACTTTATGAAACCCAATGCATTTTTAATAAGCCTCAAAATACAGTCGTTTTTGCCGTAAAATACTTTTTGACGTTTACTTCAAACAGCAACATTCATATTTTATTAGGTTTGCTTGTTATAAGGTTTATAATAAAAAGCAAGAAACAATTCATAAGAAATGCCTCATTAATTAAAAAAATACAATCTTTAACATATTATAAAATCAATTTTATAACTTATAGTGTTCTTCGCTTACAATCTGGTGACCGCTGTCACGATTCATTAACATCTGTTTATTTGAAACATGAAAGGATCTTGCTCTTTCTTATTTTTTAATTTTGATTACATGTAATCCTGCTGAAAGCAAAGCAGAGACATTTGGACTCTTGACTTCATCCTAATTGCCCTTCCAACAAGCTTCATTAAATGTCCATTTACTGACAGTTCTAAAAAATTTCAAACATTACTCCAGTACTCCATGCTTTAACCCTAAGCTTTCGTCATTAATTCTGTAATAAAGCTCAACATTTAATGATTATTTACAGATTTTGGTAAATCCTCCTATCATATGACACAGTCTTTAATTAAACATTCACAAATATAGCCTTCGAGGTTGAATATCAGCTACGTTCTTATATTAACAATAATGTGGTAAGGACAATATGTATCGATTGTTTATTGTGATATATATCCGCAAACAATTCCTGGTAATATGAACCATCTATTACTGATGCGGTGTGAACCAAGTTCAAATGGAGACATTGCTGGCTCAGAATGACCTTCTGTATATCAACTAAAGAAAAAACACAAAGGAACATCATCAAGTACACTTAACATTTTGTAAACTACACAGCTATGGCCTTACAATGGAAGCCACAATGGATGTCACTCCCAAAAATTACCTACAGTTCATCTGAACAAACCTTTGGACTGAGTTAGTCTTAGAATGTTTAAAATCAGCTGATCAAAACAACAGTACTCCTCAAGATAAATTTCTGGTGCAACAATTAAGAAACCTTTTTTAAAGTAAACTGTATACTAATCAAATAAGCCTTAAAACAATATAATTCTACTTTTCAAAGATAAATATCTAGGATAAGTACCTTCCATTTTGCAGCTGAAAGTGGAGGCATTGAGTGATTTAAACCTTAAACCTACTACTACTTTCTAATTTTGGGTTTGGTAAATTTGTTCTTAAATGTTGGTAAAAGTCAACTTTACATAGCCTGCTCAAACAACTTCTGAAGCAAACTTTATTCTTCTGAATAGGTAATGTCTTTACTTATCACTTAATGCTGTTTACTGTCATGAATTAAAGACTGAAAATCAGGAAAACTTGTCAATTTGACTTTAAAGTACTTTGAAAATAAATAAATGGTCCAAGGAAAAAATATAGAAAGAGTTTCAGCAGAAAGTGCTGTGAAAATGAATTAATGGTCCAGAAAAAAAAGATGTTCCTTTTTGAGATGTTCACATTTAAAGCATTTGACTGTTTTACCTTTTTAGTAAAAAAAAAAAATGGAGGTTGTGGGGAGGGGGGTGTTAGTTGTTTGCCTGTAATATAATCAAATACTAAGCCTGCATAGTCATCAAATTGATGATGTTTACAATAATGCTTTTCCCTTTTCCATATTTTAATGAGCAGACTTAGTCTTAAAGTGTAAACCAATTCCAATTAAAAATCTCAATCCTAAAATTTTGAATTTATTCATAAAGGGCAAAGTAATAAATCATGTCATACTTGCATTTATAATTAACAATTCAGAGGAGAGCCTGGATTCTGCTCACAGAGAGGTATGCAATGGAACCTTCACATCCGGAATGAAAGGCCTCCATGAATGGGAGCCATTAACTCAAAACAGTGTATAATGCTCGTACTGTCAGGAGAACATGTATGGTTACAGTTTGAATTATTTCCGAATAATGAAAATCAGAAAAAAGAATTGGGTAAATATTGAAAAATGAATTCGCTGTACTCAGAACATCTGTTTGGATAGAATACATCTCAGAATCGATGCCTGATCAAACCTTACGAAATTCTAGTCACGCCATACATCCAACTTAACTATGCCTTTCACTGCTAGATTAGAAAAGTTAACAATGCTAAAATGTGTATTGTAGTACAATCAAGAGCCTGCAGTGAACTTAATTGGTCAGCTTTGTCCTGGTTTTTAAACCCATTGTAATGCTTTCATAAAGATATGAATTGAAATTTGTCAAGATTTTCAATGTATAAATTTAACTAAAAATATGTCACTTTGATCGACATTATTTCTTTATAACAGTCATTCCTTTACACTATTCAAAAAAAGCTGTCCAAACTTCACCCTTTTATAAATGTTCTTTCCAAAAAAAATTTAAAAATTTATAAATCTTCATAAATTATGTATAAGTATGTAAAAGAAGTGTACTTAGGTGGAAAAAGTTGGATATTTTTCAATTAAGACAGATAAATATAGCATAAAAATGATTGAAAAGTCTGTACACAAAACTCTTGGCCCCATGCCCAAAGCTTTCAGGCCTTTCTTTCAATATCAGCTGTACTGATATTTCAGGATTTCAAACCATTCCATTTCAAATCATGCAAACAAATAAATCAAGGACTTGGAGCCATATGAACTCTCACTTTATTTACAGAGAAATAATCAATTTCAGCAATGCAATCAGAATCTTGCATGCTAATTAAAAATGTAAAATAATGTCTAGTAGTTTTCTTTACAGAGAAAATACAAGTTACTTTTCAAAGCAATCTAATTTCTGCTACTTTAAGCATAAATAGAGCAGATCAAGAATCAGATATTAATAAAAGAAGTTAACATAGAACTGAATGGGTGCTGTCTTATGTTGACATCCATTATGCAAAGGACATTCATGAAACCACCAAAATAGAAAATATTTGAGTTTCATTCCATCTAAACATAAATCTCTCCAGAAGAATGCAAACAATTTTGATACAAAGAAATCATTAATTTTCGTGGGGGTTTTAATTTTTTGTTGTTATCGAAGTATGGGAAGACCCTACGATTTGTCATAACCATCACAAAATTTCAAATTTCATAGGCATTACAACTCAACACTTTTCCAACCATGAAATCAAATCCCTACATTCAATAATTTTTTCTCATACCTCAAAATTCCCCACGAAAATATGTGATTTTACAGTATTTTGTTATAATAAGTGAAGCAATCTAAACATACTCATGATACCATTGCTATTTTTCAAAAAAACATCTTTGTGATCTACTGTAAAATCACATATTTTCATAGGGTCAAATTTTCAAGCTTTGAGAGAAAAATATTGGTTTGTGGGGATTTGATTTCATTGGAGAAGTGTTCAGTTATAATGCATATGAAATTTTTACATATCGAGGTGTCATGAATTCGAGGGTGTCTCCATACCTCAATGAAAATTAACCCCCCACGAAAATTAGTGATTTCACAGTATCTGAACACATCAAAATAAAGACAAACCTTTGGGAGATGCTGAGCGCTGCTGCTGTTTCCGAATTTTCTCTTTTATTTTGGACAATGCATCTACAAGGAAAATAGTGTCATTTAATTAAAACTGTCCACTGCAGTGGCTCCAGGGCACCTGCTAGATTCGTGGGGATCATTTCATGTGTGATCTGACAGTCAATCTATGAGGACTAACACTGTCATAAAATAGAAACTAGAGGTACTGTGAGCAATGAGCTCACTAAATGATACCCCCCGCCTCCCATATGAATATAATGGCAGTGTCCATGTTTTGCTCTGAAAAATCCAAAATATATGTCAGATCAAAAAGTAAAATAGGAGGTGCACAATGGCAATATGTAATAAAGATTCTGTTAAAGTTTCATTAAATTTCCTTCAGTGGTATGGGAGGAGTTGTGGATAAGAGATGGGTACCCCAAAGCGTAACAGACGGACGGACGGAAATACCGATTACTATATACCCTCCCGCTTTTCAAGCGGGGGGTATAATAAGATACCTGCATGTTTTGCAGACAACTTTGGTAATTGAAATTTCGAGAAATAAACATACTTATACACTCGATTCTCATTATATTGCGGGTTTCATTGTATTGCGCTATATTGCAATAATGTGAATACATAGCCTATATTCTTTTTATTGATGGACAAACTGTATGTTGTCTGGATGTTTACTTTTTTAATGATTTAGAAGTATGGAACATCCGTTTGAAAAAAAAATAATTCAAATAAAACATAAATTTACAGATTTCCAGTCCCGTTTTTATTATATTTAGAGCATTAGATTTATAACCTAATAAAAATCATAATGAAGTTCATCTTTAAAAAGTCTTTAGTTAGTACAATTATTTATTTTTCATGTAGAATTACATCGTAAATTCAAAAATAAAAATTTAGGTACATGTCATCTACAAGTTTCCATGTTTTCCCATACCGTGATACAATGAGACTCTCCAATTTTGGAGGTATATAAGACTTCCTCTTTTAAAAATAGACTACAAATTAAACGATGCAAGCTTGGAAAATAATTTGACACAGAAAAGTTAGGTCATAGTTAGACTTTTTATGCAAAAGAATTATGTACTGCAATATAATGAGACACTAGTATGTCATATACTACTAGTAATTAAAACTAGAGGTACTGTGAGCAATGAGCTCACTAAATGATACCCCCCGCCTCCCATATGAATATATTGGCAGTATCCATGTTTTGCTCTGGAAAATCCAAAATATATGTCAGATCAAAAAGTAAAATAGGAGGTGCACAATGGCAATATGTAATAAAGATTCTGTGAAAGTTTCATTAAATTTCCTTCAGTGGTATGAGAGGAGTTGCGGATAAGAGATGGGTACCCCAAAGCGTAACAGACGGACGGACGGACAGACGTACAGACGGACGGAAATACCGATTACTATATACCCTCCCGCTTTTCAAGCGGGGGGTATAACAAGGAGTTCAAAGTCAATGGAAGGTATTGTGGATTCTTTATTGCTTAGCAACAGTGTCAGAATCAGCATACATACTCAAACACACCCTCACACACACACACACCCTCACAAGCACAACTCACTACTTCTCTCCTGTTTACAACCCCCTGACTCAGACCATATTTTCAAATGAAATCAAACTTAATGGTGTTATAAAAAAGACAAAATTTCTTAGGAAGGACATTTATATTCCACAACCTATTTACCATAAAGACAAACACCATTAAATGGACCACTATGGTCTACATGCAATCACTCATGATTTAAGGGTTTTGTTGATAGTAAGGATTTTAAGCTGAATTGAAATGGATGTGAACATATTTAAAGTAAGGCAGATTTTAAGTACTGATGAAAAAGTACAAAATTCTTCAGAAAAAAGCTAGATCATAATTTCTTAATTTCATATTTGAGTAGTTCCGATATTAAAAATAAACACAAACCTGGGTTTATTAGTCAAGACAGTTTGACACATATCATTAAAGGGCAGCAACATATATATCAAAGGGATATAATTAAATAATGGAGAGATTAAAAATTTCAAAAAGTACTTAAGATACACGAGGGACTGCAAGTACAGTCGCACCTGCTGTTACGGCCACCCTTAATCAGCGGCCACTCGTCATGAACGGCCAGTTTCAATCCCGCCTGTTCATTTTTTCACTATATTTTAACTCATTTAAGCGGCCACCTGTCTAACGTGGCCAGTGGCCAGTGTTTTTAGGTCCCATGCGCTCAACATGCCTGTTTTAAGTGGCCATTTTGTCTGTTTAGTCACATGACTTCCGTCTGGCCACATGACCTTGTATCCTCGAGAAGCCAAACATGAACAGCTGATAATGAGTAATTACTGATAATTGCGGGTGTAATTTGAATTCATTCAAGATTTAATGATTTAATTAATATGATTAAATAATTTACTTTTTACAAATTTTTTTTTTCTTTTTTGTTCTTTATATACGAAAGTAAGTTGTTACACAGCTGTTGATTACGGTTATCAATACATTAAAATATACTACAATTTCGCCCGAGGTTATCAAGCCAAGTGGCCAGTCTCGGGTTATAGCCCTACTATGCTATATAATATATATTCAGAAAAACTAAAAAGCTTTACACAGCATCAGGAAATTTTGTTGAGACATTTCATGATTTCGTGTGATGTAAATTCTATTGCTGTGAAACTTTTAAAATTACCATCACAAAACAACAATAAAAAACAATTTTAATAGATTTCTTTCCTAAATTCATGTAAAATGAACTGTAACAAAAGGGATCTCTTGTGACTTTAAGCTTCCTAATTTTTTATGTGTTGAAATTGTGGATTTGGATACGTTTGAAAGTAAATTAATATACAATTGTGATCGCAATTTTTTATTCCTTGGTTTGAAACCTGGAATAAGTGGCCACCTGTCTTATGTGGCCAATTTGTCATTCTCCCACAAGTGGCCTCTTAAAACAGGTTTGACTGTATAATACATCTACCCAAACATCTTGATTCATTAAACTTAGACAGCCATTAGTCAGGATTTCAGCACATCTCTACTTGAACTTTGATTTCCTTTGTCCCAAAATTAAGTTCCATTTTTCAAGCTTTCCCACTGATTATCCCCTGACAAAGTCAATCTTATGAAAACAAATACTGACAAATCTGTTGTCTTACTCACATGAGTTTTGATGAATACAAATACTCAGAAGTATTGATGATATCATTTTGATTCTTCCATAAAAAAAGAGCTTAAATTCACAAAGAATGATTTTGTCTTCACCCTTCTTTTTAGGAATTACATGTAATTGGTCTAATTGCAGGAGACTCTGCTGACCCCCCCCCCCCTCCCAAAGTTACTAAAATGGAATAATTAAATTTTACATTGGAAGAGATGAGGAGTTTGGATTTGTTATCTTTCTGCAACAAAGTTGGATGCATGGGTGAGTGCATTTGTAATGGAAGTTTTGCAAATAATCATTTTTATCAGGATTGTATGGAAATGTTAGTTTTTACTGTCCCCTTGTTTTCATTATTGCTGTAAAAAAGTTCTTGATGTGGACTGCAGAAGTTAAAGCATTTATCAAAGCCTGGCTACAAAAACTGAGCCTGCTCATTTGGTAGGCATACTGGTTATAGAAGAACAATGGATAGGTTAATAAATCAATGATTTTACATTTGTTTGTGAAGACCTGTTTAATTCTTAGCACTCATACAAAGAATACAAAATTTGGTTAACTCCCTAAGGAGTTTATTGACAGGAATCATCAACCCTCTTAAGCCTCACAGTTTCACACAACATTTGTTTGTAGGAGAGGCCCATGTTATCGAACTTTTCAAGTCCTCAGTTAACAGAAATATTGTTGACTTTTGGTTTAACTTTCATCAAAGATTTCAATATGGCTTCTTCCACAAGTTTATATGACCTTCACATTCAAGTATTGTTGTATTGATTTCAAAGAAAAGGTTCATTTCTACAAATGTCAAGGACATTAGGTCAGGATAGAAAATTATACTAGTACATGGACACTTACAAGAACCATTTTAAGTTGTAATAAAATTCACAGAATCTTTGTCTTTTAAGACAAAAATTTTATTTCATTAGCAATCCTATACCAAAATGCATTCATCAGAGAAAAAGACCCACTAATACTATAAATTTTCAAAGTATTTCTACTGAAAATACTGATTGTGCTATCTTTCAAATTTAGCTTGGCAAGTCTATATACTGGTATCATCTTTACAGTTCCATTGAGTCAATATTGTACTAAAAAATTGGACTAAATATCTGGATTGATTGTGGTATGTTTTTTTTCTTTTTCGTGTCACAGGTTAATACCATAGGCACTGTTTCCCCTTGGCTTGGGGACACATTCTTAGACCTTGTCCATTTTTCTACGACAACAATAGAATCAAGGGGATTTACAGATAAGATCAATATATTCCTGTATAAAACTTTAAAACAAGTCAGAAAGTCAGCCTTTGAGGGCTCTTGAAGGAGATTTAACATGGTAGGATGGAATTAAGGAACCTGAAGAAAGAAATGTGTTTCCATTTGATGGCACTGTAGAATTGCCTGTGGCTTGTATCCCACCTCTGATGTTTTAGAGGTCTAGTGTGTTTGCTCTGCTCCCTTATTTCTATTGTTTCGATGGACTTTTGAGCCTATCTCCATATTTCAATGTACAAATTTCTGGTTCTTCTGTACTCTAACTACACTATAACAAATAGAAATTCTTTACATTCACTTGAATTAAAATTTTTTTTTTCTATCAAAGAACTCTTGAAGTCAGTTCTAACATCAAGTGAAAATGACCACTTGAGATTTGGATATAAAGGGGAACCAAACCCTTTTCTTCAAGTTCACCACATGATTTTCAGACAAAATAGTAGAACCTCCAAATACAAAGGCATTTTGTATGATTTCTATTATCAATACTGAATCAAAATTGATATGACGGACCAGTCTACTTTTAATTGCATAAATTTTTTCCAAAAGAAATTCGATTTCCTTAGACCTATTGCAATTGATCAAGTACATGCACTTGTATGGCTCCAAAGGCAAATACTCCTTTTCAATTCCTCAAATCTT